AGAAAGAAGAAAGAGTCCTGAAGAAAATTTCCTCCTTCAAGGTTGCCTGGCACCTCCATCTGATTTTAGCCAGCCCTCTGGATGGCCAAGCTGAGATGCCACATGAATCGGGAATGACAAAACAGAACTGGGGCTAGAGCAGTAGCACAGCGGGTAGGGCATTTGCCTTGCACACGACCAACCTGGGTTCGATTCCCAGCATCCCATATGGTCCCCCAAGTACCCCCAGGAGTAGCTCCTGAGTGCAGAGTCAGGAGCAACCCCTGTGCATCGCTGGGTGTGGCCCAAAAAAAAGCAAAAAAAGAAAGGAAGGAAGAAGGAAGGAAGGAAAGGAAAGGAAAGGAAAGGAAGGAAGGAAGGAAGGAAGGAAGGAAGGAAGAAAGAAAGAAAGAAAGAAAGAAAGAAAGAAAGAAAGAAAGAGAAAGAAAGAAAGAAAGAAAGAGAGAAAAGAAAAGAAAAGAAAAGATGCTTAAAAAACAAAAAAAGAAGAACACTTAGAACTCACTCTCGGATTTTGCCCACAGAACTGAGGCCACCAGGGCAGGAGAGCAGAGGGGGCAAGGAGGGTGGAGGGCTCTGTTTGTCTCTCTAAGACAATTGTCCCTTTGAGGATGTTTTATTAGAGCCTGGCCCTTGAACGTCATTGGCTGGTGTTCATCACTACTGCACACTCCTTGGCTAGGCATTTTCTCACAGCTACTGGGCTCTGTTCTCAAGGGGGACCCTCCATTGCACTCCCAGAGCCCTCAGACCCCAGGTCCAGAGGAGCCAGGATGATTGGAGAGGAAGAAAGATATGTCACTGAGTTATCAGAGTGGGAACTGGTGACTGGAACTCTGCACCCTGCTAAGGGCAGTCGGTGGAGATGGTGAATCCTGTGCATATGTCCAGCAGAACTTCCGGACTCAGCCCCACACACCTGAGCTCAGTGTGCACCTCTGACACTGAGGGACCACCATGGGGTCCACAGGTTCTTCTTCTGGCCCTATCCACTGAGATGCCCATGTCCTAATCCCCAATCTACTGAAATGTGATCTTGGATGACAGAAGGGACTTGGCGACTGTGATGCAGTTTTATCTCTTGTGAGATGATCCTGGGTGACCTGGGTGCTGATGTCATCACAGGAGGTCTCATAGGTAGGGAAGGGTATGTGTGTGTGTGTGTGTGTGTGTGTGTGTGTGTGTGTGTGGTGGGGGGAGGTAAGATGCTCAGGAGACTGCTAAAAGCAAGGAGACTGAAGGCTCCCCTTTCTCCGGGAGACACTCAGCTTCTAGCAACACCTTGACTTTGATCCTGAAGAATGTTTCGGATTCTTGCCCTTCAAAATTAGTGAGATTGGGGCTGGAGCAATAGTACAGCGTGTAGAGCATTTGCCTTGCACATGGCCTACTCGGGTTCAATTCCCAGCATCCCATATGCATCCCCCTCCCCGAGCACTACCTGGAGTAATTCCTCAGTGCAGAGTCAGGAGTAACCCCTGAGCATTGCCAAGTGTGACCCAAAAAGAAAAAAAAATAGATAATATGTTTCTAGTGCTTTAAGTCACTGACTGCAATAGTGGGAAAACAGAAGGCTGATTAAGAGCTGCAGGCCAGGGCCAGAGAGACAGAACAGGGGTTAAGGCAATGGCCTTGCATGCAGCCAACCCAGGTTCAATCCTCAGCATCTCACATAGTCCCCTTAACCCAGCCAGAAGTGATCCCTGAGCGCAGAGCCAGGAGTAAGCCCTGAGCACCACCAAGTACAATTCCCTGCAAAACAGAGTTAGACATCCTACCTGGAGACGGGGCACCTTGCCTCTGTCATTTTCTTGTTGGGGCTGAACAGGGTATGAGTCTCTCTCCTGGGGCTGCTGTGACAACGAATTTGGATTAGCATGTCTTGAGATCCTTGATCCATGCATGAACACTCTAGACCCCAAATCTTAGCTTTTGAAATAACCCTTTCCTGTTTATTCTATTTGAGGGTCATCCCCAGCAGTGCTCAGGGTTTACTTCTGGTCACCCCCAACAGTGCTCAGGATCACTGCTGGTGGACTCAGGACCATCAGTGATGTTGGGGAGCAGTAATTTCCGCAACGTACCAGACATGTTGCGCATCAGGTTCGGGCAGACGCAGGGCGAAGGATGACAGGTGCATGGAGAAACCACTCTAGGAGACAGCTGATGGCCTCTCACTTTATTGCAGAATGCACATATTTTATAGGGGGTCTTGACTTAAGAGGATGGTCCAATCGCATAAATTTTAGCATTACTGACCTATCACCTTTTAGGGCTAGTTAGGAATGACTCTGGAGGGGAGGAGAGGTGAGACTCAAGGTCTGGTTCTGCTCTAGGGAACACAGGAAGTTGCGTGCAACATATGTGGTTGTTCCTTGCATATGGTGTAGAAGCATTATCCTCCTATTTTCCAGAAGGGATGCCTGGTGCTTGTAAAATGCCCCCAGATACTCCCTACTAGGTCATTATGCAGGAACAGGTCTATCTGCTCTGCAAGGACAGATCTTATCTGCCCTGCCGCCTGTTGCCATGCTCCCCAGTGGCACTGAGGATCAAATCCAGGTCAGCCGCGTGCAAGGTTAACACCCTACTGTACTATCACTCCAGCCACGTTAAATGACTCTACTTGACTGGCAGAGAAAAGAATATGGGCCCTAAGGGGTGCAGCACCCTATGCCAGGAAAGGCAGCTTGGAGCAGAGCCAAGACAAGGACCCAGATCCCCGAACTGCAGTGCTGTTCTATGCTGGGCCAGCACGACACCTTCCAAATTTTAAAAGTCATAGCAACTCATTACAGCACATGTCCCCCTTGGCTCCGCTGCATTTCCTAGTTCTGAGAAATGTCGCAGAAAGGGCCTCTCTTGAAATCTTGTGTTTGGTGAGATGGCTGACTAGTTAATCACAGTGTTTTCTCTGGCTCACTCCTTTCTTCCTCCCCATCAAACATGACCCGTAGGACAAATGCAAACAAAGACCAGTGCAGAACCAGGCACTGGGTCTGTGATGAGATCCTGGGCTGCTCATCATGAACTAACTAGCAGTCACTGTGCAGATATTTCTGGACATGAGACCCCAAAGATGCTTCAATTCCCCAGGAAGCTGGAGGATTTGTTCAAGACATACAATGTCCCCCTAAAACCTAGATTCATTTTAAACCTGGCTTTTGCAAAATGGTCCTTTAAAGATAAGACTGTCTACCTGTAAAATACGCACATATTAAGAGTATTAAGTGGAGGCCACGCCTCTGAGATGCTCCTCAGGGGAGTCCTGCCTTCCAGAGCTGAAGCATCACCTTCAAGCACTGTCAAGGATGGCACATCCAAGGCCACTTCAGGGCTCATGTCCTCAATGTCCACATTTCATACCTCCAAGTCAGGACTTTCTCAATGCTAGGCCACCTTTCTCAAAGATTCTAATGTCTAAAGGGATGCTTTCAGGAGAAAATGAGTTATAACGTGAATGTGTTCTAGGACACTGCAAGACAATTTCCAGTCCACGATAGATTTCTTGTCTTGTGTCTTCCTTGGAGCCAGTTCCTGTAGAAGCATAAGGTGAAAGTCAGGGGTGACAGAGCCCATTGTTTTCTGGCCCAGGGCACTGAAGCACTGTCTGTAGCACTGTCCTCCCGTTGTTCATCGATTTGTTCGAGCGGGCACAGTAATGTCTCCATTGATACTGGTTGTTACTGGTTTTGACATATCGAATATGCCACAGGGAGCTTGCCAGGCTCTGCCATGTGGGTGGGGTACTCTGGGTAGCTTGTCAGGCTCTCCAAGAGGGTTAGAGGAATCAAATCCGGGTCAGCCACGTGCAAGGCAAATGCCCTACCTGCTGTGCAATCCCTCCAGCCTGGCCCAAGGCAATAAAGAAAAATCCAAACGACACGCTTGACTTAAGCACACTTTCCCACTGTAGCTTCTTGACCTCTCTGTTTCCGCTGGAGGATCTCTTTTCAGTCTGTTCTCGGGTTTCTCTTCAGAGTCTGTTCTGTAATCTGCCTTGAACGTTCATGATGTAAACATCTGGCCAGCCGCAGACACTGGGGAGGAACTCAACTTTTGCCGGGAGGGAACCCCTTTCTTACTTGGGGATCCTCGTGGAGGACTTTGATGCCTCAAATGCCTTCCCCAATGTTTATCTCACCTACCTCCTCCCAACTGAAGTCAAATGTGGAATCCTCGCAGGCTCGTTAAATACCTTCTAAGAGCCTCCAAGGCCTCCGAAAACTTGGACCGTGTGTGTGTGTGTGTGTGTGTGTGTGTGTGTGTGTGTGTGTGTTTCTCCTGGGGGCCTTCCCATCCTTGGGCTACTGGCTATTGCTCAGTGGTGTGTGCCTTTTCCACCCCACCCCCCTGCTCCCTCCCAGAGTGCTCATACCCTTGCTATGATGTTTCACAGGTTATGGCTAAATTACGAGCCCCGCAAACAGACATGTCACTTGTGCTCATTTGTCATTCCTCGTCTAATCAGGCCCTGGTGCTGAGGGGTGGGGACAAGAAGAAGAGCAGCTATTGTTTCCTGCCAGACAAGACATGTTCTCTCTAGTCTCCCTGGGGCCCGGGGCCCTGTATGTGCAGATGGGGACGCACAAGCCCAGCGAGAGACAACCTCTAGCCTTGGGGTTGGAGAGAAAGACAGAGGCCACGATCCCGAAGCGAAGGGGCCTCTAGGGAAGAAAGGGACTTCTGTGAAGAGAAGAGGCCCGTCTGTGTTTCGGTCCACTTGCCTGCAGGCCTCGGGCGCGGGGCTAGGGAGGGGCCGTCACTAGGGAGGCTCATGCAGGGTCAGCGTGGCGGGCCGTGACGCAGGGTGCCCTTCCTGGGGTGCAGATTGAGGAAGTGAAGAGGCGGTGGTGGGGAGAACCAGTCCGGCGGAGCCCAGGATGGAACGAGAGCTCCAGTCCCCGACTCTGCCTCCCATCTCGGCCAGGGCTGTGGAGATTAATGACCCCCAGAGGGTATGATATGGTCCAAAAACTCTTCCTGGATTTTTTCCGCAGGCGCCTGAGCCAGAGGCCGACTGCAGAGGAATTGGAGCAGAGGAACATTTTGAAACGTAAGTGACTGAGCCTGTTGGCCATCGCTGATGTTTTGTGGTGGTTGGGGTCATTACTTATAGGGGAGTCACCAGTTATTTTCCCAGGACCTTGGGGGGCTGGGGGGGGTGGAGCAACTAAGTGACTGACCGTCTCTCTATAAGGGTTGAGGCTAGAACATTCAAGACCTCCCCCCGGCCCCATAGACCAGGCAGGTGACCACCAGCTTTGGATCCCTGCAAACTCAGCCTGCAAGAAGCACAAGGATTCCCCAGAGAAAACGTCCAAAGTTGAGAAGCGTTTCAGGTCATTTTCAAGCCAAACAAGGCTGAAAAACGGTCACTGTGGACTGTCAAGGGAAAAGGCCACTTGAGAGGGCTGGACCAACTTGAGACGGTCAGCCTGACCGTCTGGAGCAGCTGCCTGGTGCTGATAAGCCCAACCCCCAAACTCGTGCAACAAAGAGTCCCCACTGAGTTTTCTGGGGAGGGCACTTCACAGCACCCCTGCACGGAGCTGTGGTGGACCACACGAGGCTCCGCTGGAAGGAAGAGACACCAAGCCGTGGCTGTGGGTGGGGACAGAGCACAGAGTCGTTCGGGGCAGCTGTGGATTCCCTCCCAACTCTAGTGTGCACAACTCTCGCTACTACTGCTGGTTAGACAGACGGCCCAAAGCAGCCAAGCGTCTTCTAGACACCTGTTTGGGGGAGGGGCTAAGAAACAGCTCGGATGTGCCCAGTCATTCCCGCCACCCACCAGCACTCACCTTATTATGGTCCACAATTCTTCTTCCTCCTCTTCCCCATAGCCCCCCTCTCATCTCTCTCCAGAAAAAGGGAAATGCGTGTTTGGCAGTTTCCTAGAAATGCTGCTCTGTGTGCAGATACGCATGAGCACGTACACATATACGCACGTGCACACACACACAGACACACGCACACGCGCACACACACACACACACACGTGCACACACGCGCGCGCACGCACTCACGTACCGCCCATGAGTTGCAGCTACCAGCATCACGTGCCCTGTGAAACCCAGAGGTATTTCCACCTGCCTGGAATGGAAATGGGCTTGATTTGGCTTTTCTGCCCCTGCTGGCTGTGTTCTGTGACTCAGGCAGCGTGGACGGTTATGGGGCTGCTGAGGCTGGGCTGGAGACCCATAGCCCAGGATGGAGATGGGGGCTCCTCCCCACTGTTGGTCTGTTATTGGCCTGGATCAGCTTCCCTGCCCCCCCCCTCCCCTTCCCCTCCAGGCCCACCACCTCTTCCTCAGCCTCTTCCTTACTCTTGAGGGCACCTCCCAAATCTCCTGGGTTTGGGGATTTTGTGTATACTTTTTCCAGCCAAGGGTGTCCGAAAACGTTTGCCATGTTTAATAATAGAACGTTCTTTGTTGGTTTTTGGTTTTTGTTTTTTGGGTCACACCCAGTGATGCACATGGGTTACTCCGGCTCTGCACTCAAGAACTACTCCTGTTTGGGTTGGAGCGATAGCACAGCGGGTGGGGCGTTTGCCTTGCACACGGCCAACCCAGGTTCGATTCCCAGCATCCCATATGGCCCCCCAAGCACCGCCAGCCCAGGTTCGATTCCCAGCATCCCATATGGTCCCCCAAGCACCGCCAGGAGTAATTCCTGAGTGCATGATCCAGGAGTAACCCCTGTGCATTGCTGGTGTTACCCAAAAATTTAAAAAAAAAAAAAGAACTACTCCTGGTGGTGCTCAGGGGACCATACGGGATGCTGGGAATAGAATCTGGGTTGGCTGTGTCCAAGGCAAACACCCTACCCACTGTGCTATCATTCCAGGCCCTGGAACTTTCTTTGGATGATTTCCAAATGTCGCCCCAGTCAGATCCCTAAGGACAGTAAACTTGCCTTTGTTGGAGGGCTGGAAAGAAAATCACTTCCCTAATGTCATAACTGCTCCAGTTATGACTGTTCCCTAATGTCATCCCTGCACACACCTTGCGTTTTTCTACTGGGCTCTGTGGGCAATGAAGAGGCCACGCTATGGATCCTCTCTCCCCACTGGGAGCAGCAAGGCCAAGCTCAGTGCCCTCTGCTAAGGTGAGGGTTTGGGACAGAAGTGCCTCATTCACTACTCTCTGCGTCCTTCCTTCTCCCACTCCTGCTTGTCCAGGTCACAGGAAAATCAGTTCAACCTTCTTTTTTTTTTTTATAAAGATATTGTTTTATTGAATCGCTGTAAAATAGACCCCAAAAAAGCTGTTCATGATTAGGTTTCAGTCGTATACTGTTCCAACACCCATCCCTCCACCAGTGTACATTTCCCAGCACCAGTGTCCCCAATGTTCCCAGTCTCCCTCCCATCACATCCCCTCCCACCCCCCACTCTGCCTCTATGGCAGGCACTTTTTTTTAATTTCAAATCAACTTTTTATTTTTTTTAATTTTATTTTATTTTTTAATGAATCACTGTGAGGTAGTTACAGATTTGCAAACTTTCATGCTTACGTTTCAGTCATACAATGTTCAAGTACCCATCAGTGCCCATTCTCCACCACTAATGATCCCAGTATCCCTCCCACCACCCCCACCCCACCTCTGTGACAAGCCATTCCCTTCTGCACTCTCTCACTCCTTTTAGGTGTTGTGGTTTTCAGTAGAGAATTGAGTGGGGCAGGCACTTTTCTTCCTCTCTGCCTCTCTGCCTCTCTTCCTGTCTATCTCTGTCTTTGTCTGTCTGTGTCTCTATGTCTCTCTCTCTCTCTCTCTCTCTCTCTCTCTCTCTCTCTCTCTCTCTCTCTCTTTCCTTGTGGTTTGCAATACAGATACTAAAAGGTCAAGCATATCCCTTTACTGGCTTTTCAATACTCAGTTCTTATCCACCAGCTGGATCATTATTGCATCCCACAATGCTACTGGGACCACGAAGAGAGCTGCTTACATCTCGCAAACAGTGGGGCTTCAATTCCGCTTCAATTCGGGGACGAAAGCAGCAAACTGTGCCCTGCCAGAGCTTCCCCTGGGCCATCCCATTTCCTGACCCATGGCTAGGGCTGCAGATCAGGGAACTACTGCTTGACCAGACCCAATCAAATCAATCCCTTTGCAGAAATGAATTTCCCTGCCTGTTTCCCTTTATTCTCTGTCTTGGTTCTCCTATCCCTGTGTTCCTGTTCTCATTTTCATCACTTTGGATGTTGAAATTCAAATTGCCTTATGGTCAAAAAAAAATGCCTTCCAACAACTTGTTCTAGAATGCACCCTGTGGCTGCACTTGGGAGCTCTCTCTCTCTCTCTCTCTCTCTCTCTCTCTCTCTCTCTCTCTCTCTCTCCTCCCCCTCTGTGTGTGTATCTTTCTGTCTGTCTCTGTCTCTCTCTGTCTCTGTCTCTCTGTCTCTGTCTCTGTCTCTCTCTCTCTCTCTCTCTCTCTCTCTCTCTCTCTCTCTCTCTCTCTCTCTGTGTGTGCTGGAGAGAGCCACCGCAGTAATAGGAGTGGGGCTGAGAGGCGTCTGGGTCTTCCTCCAGTGCTGTGTGCTGTGGGCATCTCTCCTTTATTCAACCAACAACCAGTGCAACCCCCACCCAGCTCACAATGGCGCCCTCTGATGGTGGTGACTGGCAGTGACCTCGTGGACCAGACCCGGCCTCTTTCTCAGTTGCCTCATCTTATCACCCCCTGCCTGAGAATTAATGAGCCTGCCTTTGTAAATGGCTTTGAACTAAAGGTATACAGATTCCACAGGAGGTAGCTTATGCAAGCCCCACTCCTAGGAAGAGTCCTAGGAAGCTGCCCAAGGAGCCGCGGCAGCTGGGGCGGTCAGAGAAGCGATGGATGGCTCTGGCCAGGCCCCACCTAGAACCTGCGGCCTGTCACCCGTGAGGAGGAAGAGGAGGCGGAGGGGGAGGGAGCCCAACACCACCAGACAGCAGGAGACGCAGCAAGTCTAGCAAGGGAAGGGAAGAAAGAGCAGGACCATTATGTCTGACTCATTAGCAATGTCCTGTGTGAGCAGACCCTTCTCTCCGCTGGGATTCCACTTTCTTGTTTACTGAAAGTAGCAAAGGAGGACTCCCTCTTGCCTCTTGGCTGGCCGGCCGTGGGACAACCCTGATCATCGCCAGGGCTTTGGAGCTGCCTCTGGAGACTGGGAGAGGGGAGGGGGTGAAGGGGAGGAAGGGACTATCCTCCTGATGGAATCTCTTCTCTCCAATTCCTCCCTCCCGCCAACACAGCTCTCTGGGGTCTCCCTCTGGGGGGAAGGGGCTGGCTGGCTGCCTTCCAGTTGATCTCCCATCCATCCATCCATCCATCCATCCATCCATCCATCCATCATGTGCTTTAGGTCAGAGGTTTGAATCCTAAGAATAGTATTTTGTAAGGAACTCTGGCTGCCAGCCTGTGGTCTGAAGGAAGGCACTGGCTATCTTGGTTGTAGTTCGGAAGTGAGGGCTAGAGGTGGGGATGGGGGGCAGGTTGCAGTGGGGACCTCTGGTGACCCGAGTCCCCTGCAGGATGTGGTCTTTTCTTGTGTTGCTTGCTGCACAAGATCCTACATTGGGCTCTGGCTGTTCCCGGATTTCCCTAGGGGGCATTACTGCCTGGAGTGTGGCACTGGCTGGGAAGGGCAGGATTTGCCCCTCCTCTGTGCCTGGGGGTGTTGTTCCTTTGGAAGCTCTGTCAGTGCGTGCATGGGAGCGCTGATGCGAGGCGCTGAGGTAGGGATGCCGTCTCACAGCAACGGGTTCTGAGTGACCACACAAGCTCTGGCCTCAGGGTCGCTTGGCATGGTCAGCTACAGCGGAGCCCCTTTACAGAAGGCCATTCTCCTAGTTTAGGGGGCTTCTAGGGTGGGGGCAGTGGAGCAGCAGGTAAGGGGGAGGGAAACACAGGTTTCTGTTTGGTTCTCAAAAGGCTTCAAAGTCCCCTTGGTCACATGCCCCGAGGCCCAGAGGAAAGTGAGCTAGCCCAGGTCATTCCTCTAAGACTAGAGGACCAAGGAGCGCCCCTCGCAGTTCTCTGCCTCCCAATTCTCTGCTCCCTTCCCCAGAACCTCTTACATACAGCACCTTCCGATGAGTAAGTCAGGCCAGCCATCAGGCTGAGGACGTTTCTCCCGAGACACTCCTTAGAAAGTCTCAATGCAGGCGTTTGTGCCCCACACCCTGGCCTCGCACCTGCTCTGGGGACTTCTGGGAAGATTCAAAGAGTTCCTGGAAGCGGGGTTTGCAAAAGGTGAGCATTGAGGACAGACGGACGTCCTGCTGGTGCCGCCCACCTTGCCTCCCTTTCCCTCCCTTCCCCCTGCAGCTGGGGCCTGCACACCACCCTCTCCTCCCTACCTACCCCCCCATGGGTTTTGCCTTCTTTTCCACCCCACACCAGGTCCACATCACAATGAGCCCCGTTTCAGTCACTGTGAGGCCCCAAGCTTGTCACTGCTCCCCAAATGCCATGATCACAGTGACCCTTTCTTGAAGTTACCTTAAGGCTTTGCCTGACAGCCAACACTTCCCTACCCAGATTGGCTGCCTAGAGACTAGAAACCCCCGTGTCTGAAGGAAAACAGTCCAGGTCAGCCTGCCAGGCCAGTCTGCAGCCAGTCACGCAGGCAGTTGGGGACGTGTCTCTGCGGGCAGAAGGGAGACCCGGTTAGAAGCTGGGCATTTTCTCTCTGCCCCTTGCCATACCGTGAGGGGCCGGGGACCCATGGCTGTGGAGGTCCACAGGATGCGCTTGTGCGTGACACTGACCAAACCCAAAGCATCTTCAATGTTTCTTTCAGCTCGGAATGAACAAGAGGAACAAGAGGAGAAAAGAGAGATCAAGAGAAGGCTAACTCGAAAGGTAAGCAACACGCAGAGGGGCGAGAAGCCCAGCCCAGTGCGGCGCTTTGGCTCAGCCTCAGGGGCTGCCCACTGGTTGGCAGGGATGTGACAGGGCCCAGCGTCTAGGGGTGAGAGTGAGCAGCTCTGTGCCATCTGTCCTGGGGACAATGGTCAGCTGGGCCTTATGACCCTCCGTCCTTTGGTTTGATTTGGTCTTTCCTCCTGCCCTCCCAAGCAACTATGTCAGGTGACTTAGATTTGGAAATGCAGTGAATATCTTGATTTCTTTTGTTTGGTTGGTTTGGTTTGATTTTGGATTTGGGGTTTGGGGGTCACACCTGGTGGAGCTCAGAGCTTACTCCTGGCTCTGTGCTCAGGGATCAGTTCTAGTGGGGGCTAGTTGGTGCTGGGATCAGGTTGGACCATCACTCTGGCCTGGATGTCTTGTTTTTATTTGTTTTTGTTTTCCGCTTTTTGGGTCACACCCGGCGATGCACAGAGGTTACTTCTGGCTCATGCACTCAGGAATTACTCCTGACAGTGCTCGGGGCGACCAAATGGGATGCTGGGAATCGAACCCAGGTCGGCCACGTGCAAGGCAAACACCCTACCCGCTATGATATCGTCCCAGCCTCTGTCTTGTTTTTTAAAAGTTCATTGCAACCCCATCAGGCAAGTGGGAATTCATGAGTAAAATCAGTGAGTAGTTCAGATATCGTGAAATTATTTCTTCTGACCTTGCACAAGGAGAACTTTGGATTACTATTCCTGGCCTATGAGTAAAAAGTATTTGACTTTATCATGCTAAATCTAGTTTGAATTACTGAATTAGAAAAATGCCAAAAGTGTTAATAAACTCAACAAAGGTATTTGTAAAGCTTTTTTTTTTCTGGTTGGGTATTTTGTGTGTGTGTGTGGAGGTAGGGTGGGGCAGGCACACCTGGCAATGCTCAGGGATTATGCCTGGCTCTGCACTCATGAATTACTACTAGTAGTTCTCAGGGGACTGTATGGGATGTCGGGGATTGAACCCGGCTTGGCCCTATACAAGGGAAGCATCCTATCCAATATACTATGGCTCCAACTCCTCTGTGTTTCACCCCAACAGAGATGATTCAGCAGTAGAATATCTTGAGAAAGACATAATTCTGAGTGGCCTTTTTCATGTTAAACTTTCTTGAGTCTATTCTTAGATGATGTTGATCGGGCTTAATCGATGACAGATACTGTACTATACTTCTAACTCTGGCATTTGTAATCAGTCTTCGATAGTGACTGCCTTGAAAAGTCTTCAAATCTTAGAGACATTTCAGAGATCCAGTAAAACGAATTTCTCAGGGTTCATTCCTGAATTTCTCTCCCTAGAAATATTAAGCAAAGAGAGAAATTCAGAGATCCTAAAATATTCCAATTCTTTAGGCAATGATCTGGAATTCTCAACACTCTCTCCCTTAGAATGCCCTAGACTTCTCATGGCAAATGCCCAATGACACTCCCAATTAAAAAGAGAAGATGCAAAGTGTCTCAAAGGCCAATTGCCATGCTGGCATTCTTCTAGCAGACTAAAACCAGGAATAGTTAGCCCTCTTCTTCCAGTTACCCTGTACCCAGGAAGGGGCCTAGGATGAGGACTGACCCATCCCTGAGAAGGGAGCGTGGACTCTATGTGAGGATCACCTCACAGTGATACCCCTCACTTCTAAGCAAGAAAGTTCTAGACATTCAGAAACAGTTGGGGCGAGGGTAGGGTCTCCCCAACAAAGCTCAGCATCCCCAGGGCCCTCCCAGCAAGACTCAGCCAACCTGACTAATGATTCAGTACATGGACCAGAGATGCAGGCTTCTCCGGCTATGTCAGGGGTTGAGAATACCAAGGATACCTGAGGGTCTGGCATATCGAATACTCTCTCCAATGGAGACGTTACTGGGCCCGCTCGAGCAAATCGACGATCAACGGGAGGGCCTTTACCTTTACCTTTACCTTACCTGAGGGTCATATCTCTGGTGGTACTTGGGGACCATGTGATGCTGAGAATCTAACTGGGCTCAGCCACATACAACACTTTAATTTTCTGCCCCATTCAGCAATAATTTTATCAGATTTATTGGAGTTGCTGGCCAGGACCCAAATTGTCTCCAAAAATGTATAGGATCTTGCTAAAAACTAGTCATCGGAAAATATTTAGGCATATATTGAATGTGTGAATCTCTGGAAGGAGTGTAGGATTTTGCAGAGAAAGCCTAGCTAAGTGTATAATTTGGCAGAAGGGGTTGAAGGAGGAGGATTCTTCATCCCGATCCATTTAGCCTAGGACTGGAGACAGATTCCCCTAGAGAGCCCCTAAAGGTTTGAAGTTTCCCAAATAAGAAAAAAGCTGCCCCCTCATCCTGGTTACTTCTGCTTCCTTTCCCCAGGAAAGCTACCTTGTTGTTTTATCATTTATCCTCCCCTGGCACTGACTTGGAAATTAAAAATAATGAGCTTGGGGAGAAGAGATAGTAAACAGAGAGAGCGCTTGCCTTGTGTGCATGACTGACCCTGGTTCAATCCCCAGAACCACCTATGATCCCCTGAGCACTGCCAAGAGCAATGGTCCCTGAGCACAGAGCCAGGAAAAAGCCCGGGAATAACCAACCCAAATGATTTTTAAAAATAATGAGCTGGAGTGAAGAGATAGCTGTGGGCAGGGAAGAGACTAGAAGGCGTTTCCGTGCCTGTGTTTGGAGAGGGAGGCCCAGGCAGATGAGGGCGACTTCTTTTCCCTGAGAGACTTGCTCACACTGAGACTGGCCACCAGGATGTGGCTGCTTTTCACTTGCCCTAAGCCCAAGGATTGTCTCAAGGCAGCTCAACTTAATTTTAACATTTTAGTGAAAGAAAATAGAGCACAATCCACACGCTAGTTTCAGCTGGCCACTTCCTCCAGCCAGTCTGCTCAGTGACGAACCTAAACTAAGTGCTTACTCAGTCCCTTCCCCCAAGTGCTTGGGAGCTAGGTGGATGGGGAGAAATGAGGAAGGAATGAAAGAAGCAAAATATAAATAAATAAATAAATAAAAGGAAGAAAAGGAAGGAGAAGAGGAAATGTGCTTGGGTCAAACCATAGGAATCATGGGGTTTGGTCTCTGATCATTTACTCTTGTTGTATTACAAATGAAAAAAGAATCAGGATGGTAAGTCTATATATTTACCCATTAACTTATTTTTAATGTTAGGCAATGTGGCTGATAATGTCATAAAAAGGGTGTTGTGCATCAAACATTCCAGCACCAAACCAGAGTGTCTGCCATGGTCCCAGTGACCACCTTTCCGCCCCACCCCCACGGTGGTGGCTTCCTGCTAAAGATCAGCAATTGCTTTCCGTTGCCGCTGTGCATTTGTTATGCCCCTAGTGTGTTTATGAATATCTTACGCATGAGGGAGAGCACTCTGTCTGTCTGTCCCTTTCCTGACTAACGTCACACAGCATGACACTTTCCAGATCCATTCAGGGAGCCGCAATGGCTGGATTTCATATTTTCTTAAAGTCAAGTAGTATCCCACTGTGTCTATATTCCACAGGCTCTTTATCCAAGCATCTGTTCTCGAATTTTGGGGCAGTTTCCAGGTTTTAACAATTTAACTTTTTGACGTGTACCCCAAGGACCCAAAAGTTCCAAATGAATTTTTTTGACTGATATGGTTAAAACCATAATGCTACCAGCCTTGGTTTATTCCCCTTCCTCCAGCCCCTCATCTTCCTGAAAACTGACTTTGGCAGCAAAGATTATTTCCTTAGCAACCAAGCAAAGATGTTAACGCTTATGTACCAAACATTGCAGGAAGCCGTTAACCCGCCACCCACCCCCACCCAGCCCTGTACCCAGCAACCTGAGGGCACATTTGGGGAGCAAGTCCCCAAGGCAGTGATTATGAAATCCAAAGTACCTGAGCCTCTCTGAAGAGAAGTCCCTTCTCTCACTCTCTCCCTCCTTCCTTGTATTTGCCTTTTTGATTTGGAGAGGTCATGTCTGAGGTCCCCTGGGGTTCAAGCCTGACAAGTAGTCCCTGACCTTCACACCTAGTAGCTTTCTGGTCCTGCAGACTATTCCCTTCAGATAGGTAGTATGCAACCTCCAAATCATAGTATCCAGAAATACAAACCAGAAATTCCACGTTCAACAAGTTCTCCTAGCATGGCATACTTCAAACATAATACTCTTTGCAACTTTCACCAATCCTCAGAAAGACAATTTGGGGGTTCTGAGTAGGAATCCTTATTTATCTGGGATAAAGAAGGTAACATTAAATGTGGGTGTAGATATTAACGGTAGCACAAAGCTTTTTGAAGATGATGCATTGCCATGTTGATTAAGCCATACAGTCTGGGGTATCTGAGGTTTCCTTTGAGAAAGCCACCAGCCCACATCCACTGGCCAAGAGGCATTGCAAGAAGACCTTGTCCTGTCTGAAGCTCAGTAACGCCCCCCACCACTCCCTTTGCTCTGGATAGTCACTGGCTAGAGCCCTCCATCGAGGGCAGCTAATTAGTTGTAACATTCTGAGAAAGACATTTGACAGCTACACACTAGTCACCACAGCTGGGAGGCCAAAATTCGTGTGTGTTTGTGTGTGTGTGTGTGTGTGTGTGTGTGTGTGTGTGTGTGTGTGTGTTGTGTAGGCCTATCCTGGCATGAGTCTATATGACTGCCTCTATTCACTGTGTATTGATTTACTCGAGTGGGCTCCAGTAAAGTCTCATTAATTCCAGCCCTGAGATTTTAGCAGCCTCTCTCTCCTTACTCATATTTCCCAATGTTGCCATATTCGAGGCTCTTTCGGTGTGGGGGGAATGAGGCCCGTTATTGTGGCTGTTTTTCGCATATCAAATATGTCACTGGGAGCTTGCCAGGCTCTGCAATGCGGGTGGGATACTCTCGGTAGCTTGCCGGACTTTCCGAGAGAGGCGGAGAATACTGCCTCTATTAATAGAATTAAATATAGTCTAGAACTTGGAGAGGTAAATGGTTTTCAAATAAAATCTAAATCAACATGAGGTGACAGCACCCTGAAAGGAGAACCACTGGGTCTCTCCAGAAGACATAAGCCCAGGGACAGGAAGAGATCACAGAAATGCCAGCCCTCTGGGGGTGGGGGGGAGGAAGCACGCAGGAAGGCTGCCCAGGAGCCACAGGATCTGGTTTGAGAAAAATGAATGTTCCTTCTCCCTACTGCCTTCTTTTTTTTTTTACACCTGCTTTATTGCTTTTTTATTTTTATTTATTTATTTTTTATTAGTGGAACACCATGAGGGACAGTTGTAGACTTACAATTTTTTGTGCCTGTCTGTCCCTTTTTTTTTTTTACAATGATCGAGTACACATCCCTCCACCAGTGCCCATTCTCCACCACCACTAATCCCAGTAGCCCTCCCACCCCCACACTCATCCCCCACCCCCCGCCATGCCTCTGTGGCAGGGCATTCCCTTTTGCTGTCTCTTTCCTTTAGGGTGTTGTAGTTTGCAATAGATGTATTGAGTAGCCATTGTGTTTGGTCTATAGTCTACTTTCAGCACGCATGCTCAGCAGGGTCCTTGAGAGGTCTTCAGGGCTTGAACTCGGCTCTGTGCTTGGGGGCCAAGCCTTGATTCAAACCTCTGGAGGAGTGGGGTTCTCCTTTACCCTCAGAAATCAACAAATTCCCACTCTGGGGACTGGGGATACAGCCCAGTGGTTAGGGCGAGTTGCCTTGCATGTGGCTGACCCAGGTTTTCAATCCCTGAAAACATATTCTCATTCCGGATGCCCTGGGTTGGATTGCAGTTTGCATGGCCGCTTTTCCGTGTAAAACATACCTAATGAGTCCTTCTTCCAGAGGAAACTAAATTTGAAAATGAATCCCAAACCAGACAGATTCCAAGTCAGGCTTCCTGGCACCTGCTGGGGAAGGCAGACAGCGCCAGGCGGACTCTCAGCAGATGCCATGCCACATGTGTATGGCCGGCAGCTGCCCAGACCAGATGGGGTGACGTGGTAGGGACAGCTAGCCTGGCTCTATCTGAGGGGCCTCGTGGTCCACAGGGCCCAGCTCAGCTCTCCTTACAGTGCTGCGTGGCAGGTCCCAAATTTGCCTCTCCAGTGCCTGCTTTCCCACACCTGAAAACCCACCGGTAGACTGTTGGGTGGGGGGTGAGGGTCCCCACTACTTCTGTAGTCACCAACCTTCTCTCCCTCCCTCCCTGCAGCTCAGCCAAAGGCCCACAGTGGAAGAACTTCGGGAAAGGAAGATCCTCATTCGCTTCAGCGATTATGTGGAGGTGGCTGACGCTCAGGACTATGACCGCAGGGCCGACAAGCCGTGGACCCGCCTCACTGCTGCAGACAAAGTGAGCCCAGGGGCAGGTAGGGGTGGGGGGTAGGGGGGACCAGGCCGGGATGGTCATTCCCTGGAGTAGAAGAGTCTCAGGGGTGCAGGCTTCAGCTTTTTCTCAGCCCTACTGTGTCAGGAGCACAGTCTGAAGCCTCTTGGGGCATCTCTGTACCCCAAGGTCAGTGCTTTGTGGTTCTTTCCCCCTAAGAAATGGGAACTGGGGAAGAGGCCTGCAGTGTTTGGCCCTCTACCCTACTTGGTTTAGGAAGCAGGAGGATGACCTCTATCTAATCCACAGTAGAGTTGGTTCTCAAGCACTGAGTGGATATGAACAAGATTCACTCATCTCGGGGGGCTGGAGCAATAGCACAGCGGGTAGGGTGTTTGCCTTGCACGAAGCCGACCTGGGTTCGATCCCCAGCATCCCATAGGGCCCCCTGAGCACCACCAAGAGTAATTCCTGAGTGCAGAGCCAGGAGTAACCCCTGTGCCTCGCCAGGTGTGACCCAAAAAGAAAAAGAAAAAAGAAAAAAAAAGATTCTCTCATCTCTGCCCTTGGGCCCATACCAAAGCTGAGCCTCTCTCTGCTTTGCTAATGCTCAAGGACCCAGTCACTGTGAGAAAAACCTCAAGAGAAGGACCCTTTAGGGACTGGAGATATAGCGCAGGGGGAAGGGCACTTGCCTTGCCCACAGCTGACCCAGGCAGGCTTGGTTCCCAGCACTGCAGATGGTCCTCTGAGCCCCATCAGAAGTGGTCTCCAGGTGGTCAGTGAGCCCTACACACTGCTGGGTGTGTCCCCGCCAAAAATTATAAAACATAAATAGCACTGTCCTCCCATTGTTCCTTGATTTGCTAGAGCGGGCACCAGTAATGTCTCCATTGTGAGACTTGTTGTTACTGTGCATATTGAATATGCCACAGGGAGCTTGCTAGGCTCTGCTGTGTGGGCGGGATACCCTCGGTAGCTTGCCAGGCTCTCCGAGAGGGACGGAGGAATCAAACCCGGGTCAGCCGCATGCAAGGCAAACACCCTACCTGCTATGCTATTGCTCCAGCCCACAAAAAAGTAAAAAAATAGGGGCTGGAGCAGTAGCACAGCGGGCAGGGTGTTTGCCTTTCATTCGGCTGACCCGGGTTCGATTCCCAGCATCCCACCAGGAGTGATTCCTGAGTGCAGAGCCAAGAGTGACCCCTGTGCATTGCCAGGTGTGACCCAAAAAGCAAAAAAAAAAAGTAAATAAATTAATTAAAGGCTCTGTGCAATGTTCCAATGACAGTGGGGAAGAAAGACTGGGATACACCCAGGGCTTTCTACACATCTTCCCCCAGGTATCCCCAGAGCCAGTGGCTCTCTATTACATAACATAGGAAGGGGGGCGGGTATCCCTGTCTACTGTCCAGATTCTGCTGGGCCCTGGAAGAACAGGAGCAGAACCGCATGCGCCTGCACCCTTGGAAGCTGCTGTCATGACAGACGGCCCAGGAAAAACCCCCCATCTGGTGGAGATGGCCCAGCCAGGACAACCCCACCCCCCTTCAATACCGCACTCATCTGTCTCTTTTCTGGGCAGGAAATCGGGGTGACTAACCCCCCAGAATTCTCGGTCCTCAATTCCCAGTCTGCTGTGTCTGAGAAATGTGAAGGCGGGGAGTGGGGGGGGGATTCTCCCCCGTGTGCCCCTCTTTGCACTTTCTCTACCATCTGCTTGTGACCCCCCAAAATAAAGGCTGCAGGAGGCAGAAGCTGTGTCCCCCCATGCACAGGTAGAGTCCCGGGGTGCCCTGAGGCTCCAGGATACACCCAGTTCACACAGGAAGTGGCCCTCATAGCCACTGGCAGGCCCATCACCCCACACGCACCTGCCTGCCTGGTGGAGCATGCTCTGATCTGTCGGGAGGTGCAGCTCTTATCCCACGGGCACCCCAGAAAGGGCATATGTTTGCACCTTTGACACCCCACCCCACATCCAACAAGGTGTGAGTGGTTCTCCAAGCCCAGAAGCTTTTATCTTCTGGCCCTCCACACCTCACTTGGCAGTCCCATTCCTCCACCCCATCTCGGTGCTGCTGCCCTGCTCTGGGCTAAGCTGAGAGGCTGGGGATTAGGTCCAAGCTGAGTTTGTTCAGAGCCCACATCATGGACAGAGGCTGGAATGAGCCCAGGAAACAGTCAGGAGAAGGCTTTCTAATCAAAGGAAAGCTGAGCCCACCCTTTCTTTGCTTGGGAATTTGATCAAGCTCTTCCCAAAATACCTGCACGAGGCATCACTGCCTTGTGCCAAGCGTAGATGCCAGGGCTTGAGGAAGATGAGTGGAAACATATTTAAATACATGTGCAGGCCCCTAGGATGGGGCTCAGGACCTGTACAGTGTCCCTGCTCTAGGAACAGGAAGACAAAGGGCACCCTGAGGTTTAAAGATAGGGGGCTTCCAAGTACCCGAGAACAGATGGCTGATTAAGGAAACTTTGGTACATCTACGCAATGGAATACTGTGCAGCTGTCAGGAGAGATGAAGCCATGAACTTTGCTTATACATGGATAGACATGGAGAGTATCATGCTAACTGAAATGAGTCAGAAAGAGAGGGGCAGACATAGAAGGACTGCACTCATTTGTGGAGCATAAGATAACATAACATGAGACTGACACCCATGGACAGTAGATACAAGGGCCAGGAAGATTGCCCCATAGTTTGATGCCTGTCTCATGAATGGGGGTGTGGGGGGGGGGGGTTGGAGAAGGCAGCTGGAATAGAGAAGGGATTTATTAAGAAAATGATGGTTGGAGGTATTGGTTGGGATGGGAGATGTGTGCTGAAAGTAGATAAAGGACCTAACATGATGGCCTCTCAGTATCTGTATTGCAAACCATAATGCCCAAAAGCAGAGTGAGAGTATGAGAAATATTGTCTGCCATGGAAGCAGGGGGAGCGTGGGAAGGGGTACGGTATACTGGGGGTATTGGTGGTGGGGCATGTGCACTGGTGGAGGGATAAGTGTTTGATCATTGTGTGATTGTAACTCAAACATGAAAGCTTGTAACTATATCTCACAGGGATTCAATAAACTGTCACTGTCACTGTCACTGTCCTCCCATTGTTCATCGATCTTCTCGAACAGGCCCAGTAACATTGTGAGACTTGTTACTGCGTTTGGCATATAATACGTCATGGGTAGCTTGCCAGGCTTTGCTGTGCGGGCGAGATACTCTCGGTAGCTTGCCAGGCTCTCCAGATCATAATAATAATAACAATAATAATAATAATAATAATAAAATAATAAAGACAGGGGAGTTCTAGAAGTTTCCAAAGGGTAGCTCAGGGGATTGTAGGCACTTGGTGTGGCTTGTTGGGAAAGTAGTTCCTCATTCATTAGGTCAAAAGTGATTCTCTTATGTCTCTGCCTCCTCTCTGTTCCAGGCTGCCATTCGAAAGGAGCTCAATGAATTTAAAAGCACTGAAATGGAAGTTCATGAATTGAGTAGACATCTAACAAGGTAATATCCGGGCCCTGGGGTCTATTGTTTTCTCCCGAAGAATGCGGTTCTGGCTTCCATGCAGAAAACCACTGTCTGCTTTGGGATTGCGCGTGGCTTGTGGCACAACTGATACACATGAAGGCCCATGGTGGATAGAAACAGGGTATATGGAGAATCATTTGCCCTCCTGGAGGCTCCCTCCCCCACCCCCCAAGTTCTCCAGTCAAACTGGAGAGTCTGGGGTGTCTGCCTCACCCTGGGGCTTCCTACAAACCAGTTGCCAACAAGAAATCATTGTCTACACAGGCAGGCAGCTGGGGCCGGCCAGAGGCAAAAATACCCAAAGCCCACATGGTAATGCCCCCAGAGGTTCATGCTGGTGCTGGCATGCTCTCCTGGAAGTCCTTGGGGGAAGAAGGGGGCAGGGGGGTCTGGGGAAACCGAGGCATAGTTAAGTAGCTCTACTCCGGCCATGCAGCTATAATGGCAGAGCCACTGGTTTCCTTCTGGAAACTCTTCATGGGATGTTAGGGAAGACCCCCGCCTCCCAAAGCTTTCCAGCCAGCATGGGGGCGCCCAGCCATCTTGTCCCCTTTTGTCCCTAAGTTCCAGATTCTGATGTTCCCAAAGCAAAGGAGAATTGGGGGGGTCGGCGGCAGGGGTCAGAGGGGAGGGAGGGAGGGAGGGGCTCAGTCCTATGAGATGTTCGTCTGAGGGGGGGGACGCTGGGCGTGGGGCACCTGGCTCTTATCTTCCTGATTTGTTTTCTCAGGTTTCACCGACCTTAAGAGTTGAATTCCTCTTGAGTGCTATGTTGTCTTCAAAACATAAATTTATAAGAACCATAAGTGCTGGTATTTATTCACTCCCCCCATTATGATGTAAATCTTCTGAACTGCCTTTTTTTAAAAAAAAAAGAAAAGAAAAAGAAGAAGAAGAAGAAAAAGAAACAGGAAACACAAACAGGATTCTCTTTGCGCAAGCACGGTGGTCACGGTTCTGGTGACCAAGCGACCGAGCCAGCCAGCCAGCGGCCGGTGTGGCTAAGGGCATCGCCTGGCTCTGGAAGACCCTCAGGCCCCGAGCATCCACTCACTTCTGGGCACCCGGCCTGCGAGTGCCGCCTTGCTCTTGGACTCCAGGGACCCTCGTCCTTGCCAGTCACCCGAGTCCAAAGAAAGCCGAGGAGGCAGCTTTGGCCTGGGGATGACCAGGCAAAGCGAAGGATGCGGCTGACCATCTGGACGGTGCCAACAGCACGCCAGCCTGGGGCAGGCTGGGCACTGCGGCCCCCTGCAGAGGAAGCAGATGTGCCCCGGACTTCCCTCTCCCTCCAGCCCTGCTCCAGCGGGGAGCCGAGGGCGGGCCCTCTCCTGGGGGCAGGGCTGCTGGGTGGCTGGTCCTAAGTGTCTCCTGGCTGTGTGGCAGGCTGGCCCTGGACACCCATCCCTCCCCCTGACCCCCTGCTGAACATCTCTGCAGCTGGCTCCGGTCCAGGAGGTGAATGAAAGCCATCAGCTGCTGGGTGGAAGCAAACCGCCCCGTCCATACTGATCAACACCCGTGGTCAGAGGCTCCCTGGCATATCTGTGGCCTCATTTGCTGATGGCCAACACCTGCGGCGGGCACAGGCCGGGTTGCAAGGCACTGCCTGGTCCTTGCTCAGTTTCTCCAGCCCCGCCCCAGGGCGCGAGGCTGCTGGGCTTAGAAGTTCCAGGCACCAGGCCGGACCGATGCATGCAGGCCAGAAACCATCCGTGTTGGGCTGGCCTTCCGGTCCCCCGGGGCCGGGCTCTGCCTCCATCCCGAGGCCTCCTTGGGCCTCCTCTCCTTGCACTGCAGAGGCTCGGCCGTGATGTGTGCGGGACTCGGGCCCCCTGCCCTGCCTGCACTGGACCTCCCCACCGAGAAGGGAGTGTCTCCCCCTCTCAGGGCACCCCTAGAGAGCAGCTGCTGCCTCTGCCTGGCTTCGTGACAAAGCCCCCGCAGGCCTCTGTGGAGATGTCGTGCCAGCCCCCCTCCCCGGGGAGGCCCTGAGTTTATCACCTCCTTTCTCAGGCCGGGCTCACTCCCGCCACCATTGGCCGGGATTTAGGACGCAGCTGGGCCTCCACAGAGGAGAGTCCCCTGGTCCCCCCCACCCCCCCGAGTCATGTGGGGAGCACGGGACTCTTGACTCTCATTTCCTGCAGGTGTTAACACCTCCCAGGGCCCACTTGACTCCAGAAGTCATGGGTACTAGGGGGAGTGGTGGGTGTGTTGTGGCCACTGGTTCCAGCTATGCCCGCCGCCCACCCCACCACCACCGGGGGCTTTCCTGGAACCCACACACGCAGCCTGCCCCAAGCCAGCCCGTCCCTCGGTCCCTCGATCCTCTTTTGGGTTTTGTTTTTGTTTTCCTGGTAACTGCAGAGTTATTAAACAGAGGAGGCGCCTGCAGGGAGGATCGGGAGTTGGGTGCGAATGCAAAAGCGAAACTCCTCAGAGGCTTACTGACGACTGAATGTGCAAATGGCAAACAGCGGGGCACCTGCATGGGCCAGGCTGAGCGCCCACCAAGTGCAGGCTGAGGTCCGGCTGACTGACTCCCAGCTGGGCGCGTCAGCTCCCCAGCTCCAGATCATACCCCTAAGGGAATGTTCTGGGGCAACCACCCAAGGGTCCCTGAGCTGCGGGGGTGCTGGGCCCTTCAGATTCTGGGGAGATGGCGCCCAAGTCATTTCCCACCCCTCACCCCACGCCCCCAAATAGCCTGGATCTCTGCCTCCTGTGCCCCCTACCCCAGTGCCCTGGAAGCATGGAAGGACTGGAACACGGCCCCAGCTCTCTCCCAACAGAGCACCCCAATCCCAGCATGCCCTGTGCAAGGAGTGGGGGGTGTATACCCCAGACACTGCAGCTCAACCCCCACCCACGGAGATGCTGACAGCCTCGGGGCTCTGCACCCGGAACCCATAGACAGGCATCCATGCTCTCTCCCATCTGGAAGACAGGGGCTCTCCTAGAAATCGATCCAAATCTCCTTTTCCTGCCACCTCTGTGATGACAAATGGAAAGTCAAAGTTATCTTGCAAGATGGCCCTGTGGCATTCATGAGGGGAACAACGGAACAGACAGGAGGGCCGGGTGGGTACCAGTGTATTCTTGTCCTGCGGGGGGTCGCAGGGGGAAGGAAAATGGTTTCGAGTAAGTGGGTATAAACTCCCCACGGAGCCTCTTGTCATCGGGGTTGGCAGGAGAGGGAAGGGGTGAGATCTGGTTCCCTCCGACGGGGCCAGCCTACTCACTGCTCCCCACGCCGGTGGGCAAACAGCCATCGACTTTTCTTCTCTCTCTCTCGAAATTGCTCTGTCCCTCTCCCCAAGGCCCTCCCAGCCTTGTAAAACTTTTTTACAACTTTAGCCTTTCTGTCAGAGTAGAGAAAAACCAAACGACGTGATGGTAGATGTGATTAAAAACCCGAGTTTATTTTTCTCCAGCTAACGAACGTGTATTTGCCGAATGAACATCGTGACGTGTGCGTGCTTCCGTGAACGGGCCGGCCCGGCTCCTCCCTGCACACCTGGTGGCCGGGGGTCTGGGGACGGGCGGAAGGGGGCTCTCTGAGGAGACTTTTTTTCACCCATCCATCCCCACACCGGTTGCTTTATTTTTTTTTTCCAGTTGCTTCCTGGGCGTCTGTACATAGTGTGTCTTTGTATAGGAGCACTTCCCTGTGTCCCGCTTAACAGATGACAGCTGTGTGAAGAACACGATGTACATAGACCACAAATCAAACGATCTCTATGGCCTAGGTTTTTTTTTTTTTGTACATACAGAAACTGCATGGTATTTAAATTATTGTTTGTCTTTGATGATGTATGCAGTTTCTTTAAAAACAAACCAAAAAAAAAAAAGTCAAAAAAAAAAAGTCACTTCCTCGACTCCTGTGTGTTCTGTCCGTCTTTAGAAGGAACCACTAAAATTAATTTAGCTGTGTGTGGGGTGGGGGGGTAGGGGGGAAGGAGAATTATTTGGAGAGGGGGGGAGGAGGAGGAGGAGGAGGGTCAGCTTAACTTGCCAGCAACATGGAGAGTCACGCAGACAAGGGACACGTGAGGCCACCGGCGTTCACTTGATCACTTGACTTCCTGTTAATCGAGCGGGCGCCAGTAACGTCTCCATTTGTCCCTGTCGCGTGCTAGTGTAGCCCAATGGCGTCTGTTCATTCTAGGAACACGAAGAGCCTCAAACCGATCGTTCATGATCTTGATGAAGAAGTCTGACCATCTGGTAGGTGGGCGGCCACGCGGTCTTTTGACATCCAGTCGGTAACAGCTCTAGTCCAGCGGTCGTCTTTAAATCTCATTACGTGACCAGCCCATCTGATTTTTGACACCTTGGCAAACGAGACAGCGTCCCTGATTTTTGATTGTCAACACCTCCACCAGCGTTAGTGGAGGAAATTGTGCATAATTCACTTTCTAGGAGGCCCGTTGTCGGCCCTGTTTGAAACTGGACCTTGGGAACATATTCCCAAGCCTTCCATGAGAAGACTGGATCTGAATGAGCCTTGTTTAAGCAGCTCAACAGTTTTCCGATAAGGGGATGCCCGAGGAAGCTAGAGAAGCTGTACTGCTTGCTGGTGACTTAGTGGGGTCCAGCCCTGTGGCTCTGGGGGGACGGGGAGACAGCCTGGACCCTGTGCCCTGTGTCCATCCCTCCCAAGAGCTGCCACAGGTAACCCAGGCCTCATCTGGCCTGCAGATGCCACACAACCAACAGCAGTGACCTGAGAGTGATTCGGGACAAATAGAGCTGGAAAGACAACAGCAGTGAAAGATCTAGAAAGGTCCCCCCACCCTGCCGGCTCCTCCAGAGCCTGCTGACCATCATGAGTGACCGGCAGAAGTTTCAGGGCAGCAGAGGCACTGGAGAGAGAGGCTCTAGCCAGGGACTGCTGCTCGCTCCAGAGGGAGAGGCTCCACAGGGCAGCAGCCCACTCGGGCCAGGACGGGTGACCGCAGGGTCCCTCCTAGGGTCTGGGACAGAGGTGACCGCAGTGTCTCTTCTTGAAGATGGAGCAGAGGTAGCTGCAAGTGTCCCTCCTCACATATGGGACAGGTGATCACAGAGTGTCTTCTCAGGTCCAAGACACAGGTGACCACAGTGTCCCTCAGGCCCGAGAGAGGTGGTCATAGTGTCCCTCCTCAAGCATGGGACAGAGGTGACCACAGTGTCCCTTACATATGGGACAGAGGTGACCATGGTGTCCTTCAGGCCCAAGAGAAAGGTGATCATAGTGTCCCTCCTCAGGGATGGGACAGAGGTGACCACATTGTCTCTCCTCACATGGAACAGAGGTGACCACAGTGTCCCTCCTCAGGGATGGGACAGTGGTGACCATAGTGTCCCTCCTCATATGGGACAGAGGTGACTGCAGTGTCCCGTATCAGACCCGAGACACAGGTGACCTCAGTGTCCTTTCTCAGGGACAGAACAGAGGTGGCCACAGTGTCCCTCCTCAGGCCTGAGACAGAGGTGACCACAGAGTTGCTCTTTGAACCCGGGACAGTGTGGCAGCTCTGGTGAGGCCGTGTGGTCCCCGTGTGTCCTCTGGGAAGCAGGGTTCCCACCTTCCAGCTCCATGGAGGCATCCACCTGTCATTCTGGGCCAAGGCGACTTGGATGTGGTCCCAGGCTGGAGCAGGGACAGGTAGTGTCTGCAGAGCCACTCACCGCCCCTCCCCCAGGCCTGCAGTGCTCCCACGAGCCACATCCCCTCCTCCGGGTGGCCCGGGTAGGCCTGGGCCCTGGGCCCTCAACCCACAGCCTTCCTGGGGGCTGGGGAGCTGCCGCCAACCCACGCACTGACCCCCTCCCACCTGGGCACTCCCACAGCTGGAACCCTGGCTGTGAACAGTCATGGGAAGACCTAGCCTATTGTCCCCTAGTACCCACCCCCCCAGGTTTGACCTAGGAAGTGCTTCTTATCCCGGGAAATGCTTCCTGGTGCCCCTGGCCTCAGGCTAACATGCTGACCCAAGGACTGAGCAGTCACAGAGACAAACATTCCCTTGCTGGGTGGAGTCGGGGGCCACACTGTGTCTGAACAGGACCCCTGCTGGACTCGGGAGCACTGTGAAGCTCTGGGCTGGCTTGTCTTCACCAGCATGGAGGTGAGGGGTCTGGGTGCCAGCTCTGTGTGTGCGGGCACTATGCTCACTTCAGCTTCACATTTCCCGCTGGTGGGTGACATTCACCCACACCCTCACCTGGAGGCCACCCGTGGGAATACGGGACACGCGGGGCTTTGGCATGAAGGGACAGAGTACAGAGCCCCTGCCACCGCCAGCAGAGTCGGGAAAGGGCCGCGTGCCCGCGAGGGAGGCGGGGACGGGGAGAGGGGGAGACATGTGGCTCTCCCGGGCCCTGGCGGATGCCCTCAGCCCGCCTTTGTCACAGCCCTTGGCGGGCTACAGCCTGGAAAGCCCCTCGCTCAGTGTGACCCCCCCCTGGCAGGAAGCCATGAGTGAGTGCGGCTGAGGCCCCTGGGCTGAGCCAGGGTCCCATAGCACCAGCAGGTCCCCAGGGCGCGAGACTCCATATGGGGGGTGCAGGGAGGTGAGGAGAGCCAATTTGTTCCTGTACTGTGGTTGTCCAGATCACTGGCCCCAACGGGTAGCTGGGAGCTCACCAGGAAGGGAGCCTTGGGGATGCGGGGGTTGGCCATGACACCTGCGCCACTAGCAGGACACAGAGGGTCAGGAAAGACCAAGAGTCCAGGCCTACCTGGCTTGGCCCGGAAACCCCCGTATGGTCTGAGGAGTTAAGGGAGAAATGGTAAGCGGGGTGCCCAGAGGGAGTTTGAGGGGTGGAGCACATGCCTAGCGTGTGTGTGTGTGTGTGTGTGTGTGTGTGTGTGTGTGTGTGTGTGCAATGCCTGAGTTCAATCCCCAGCTCTGCCAGAGGGCTCTGATCCCACCTGACCACACTTGGGGGCCCCCTGAGAAAAGCTGCCCCAAAGATGCAGGCACACAGGTTTAACATCGGGGAGCAAAGGAGGAAAACAGTGAGATGGTGTGGAAACTAGACACACACACACACACACACACACACACACACACACACACACACACACACACAGCCCTCTGCAGAGTTCCAGGATCCCCCCACCCCCACCCCAGGACAGTCTCAGGCTCTGTTCAGAAAAACCGGGATGCTCAGTTCTGAAACCCCAGGGCAGGCCTGGCAGTGATCACAGCACACAGACGCCCCCTGCAGGGCCCCCATCAGCAGTGTGATGGGGACTGGTTGGGATGGGTGCAGAGTTGAGTAGGCGGCCAGGGGAGCGAGTCTGTTTGGAGAGACTCCCCGGGGTCGGTGCAGGAGAGAACACCAGAGGGTGCCGCTAGGTCACTGCACCAGAGAATGAGTGAGACTCCCTGCCGAGAGTAGAGCAGGCCTTCAGCGCATCACTGTTTCCTCCGGGATGCTCAACCTCTGAGCGTGAATCAGGGCACAGATCTCATGGTCCCTCCGCTACTCCGGGCATCTGCTGTGTGGGACTTTTTGTCTGCGCCCCCTGGCAGAGGGCAGCTGTGCAGACTCAGTGCTGCTAGCTGTGCACAGAGGCAGGGGAAGCTTCCCAACCCCCTCCCAGCCTCACTCCGCAGCCCAGACCCAGGCGAGGAGAGCCCCTGTAGCAGCCCCACGGGCTGCGCTTCTCAGCTGTCCGCTCGTTCACTTGACAGGGCTGTCCCATGCTGACCCCTTCTTACAGGGGCCGTGATCCTCTCCCACTCTTAAGCTAAGCTTCCAAAAGGGCACTTGGGTGGGGCATGAACCCTTTGGCTGGGAAGCTTTCTGCCCTGTTTCCTGGGCCCGCTGGTGCACGCTCCTCTCCATCAAAACACACAGAGTGATGATGATCTTTTTGTCAAAGGAAGAATTCAGGTCCAGGCTGGAGTGATAACACAGCGGGTAGAGCGTTTGTCTTGCTCATCGTGGCCAACCTGGGTTCGATTCCTGGCACCCCATAATGGTCCCCTGATCCCCATAAGAAGTGATCCCTTGGGGCTGGAGCGATAGTACAGCAGGAAGGGTGTTTGCCTTGCATGCAGCCGACCCAAGTTCAATTCCCAGCATATGGTCCCATATGGTTCCCTGAGCACCGCCAGGAGTAACTCCTGAGTGCAGAGCCAGGAATAACCCCTGTGCAATGCTGGGTGTGACCAGCCCCCCCCCCCCAAAAAAAAAGCATGCAAAATACAGCCCTGGCCTCCTCAGCCCGACTTTCTCCAGGAGCTTCACTTTGCGGGGGCGGGAACTAAAGGTGGAGGCAGAGCGAGGGGTGCAGAGCACGCGTGGATGGCAGGAGATTGGCAGGGGCCAAGGCCCACTCTTGGACAATTCAAGACGGGGCAGGCGAGTCTCATGCCTGGAGCCACAGAGAACGTCAACACAAACACAGTGTGTTTAGATGCTGCAGCGGTGACGGCTGCAAACCCAACTCAGATATTGGATCCTGCACTCTGGGGACAGGGAAAACCCACCTAGAAGCCTCAGCAGATGCTGAGCATGCCAGAAGCTCTGGCCACTGACCATGAAGGACACCTTCTGTAGTGACCTCATGGGCTGTTGTGAGTGCGAAAGGACGGGGGTTATTTTTGAACTGTGCCTCACTCACAGTGGGCAGAAACACAGTCCGGCAAATACTTGGCACTACGCAAAATGCAGTTGCCGTGCAAGTGTCACATTGGACCCTCACCTTCCCCGGGGCTTACAGAAATCCTTCTGCTGAGATGGGGCCTTTAGTTTGCAGCATGGAAAATTCTTGATGGTTTTAAGATTGGTTCATTTAAAGGGAAAAAAAATCTCACACACACACAGTACAAAAAGGTTGAACCAAACTATGTTAGACAGAAGGTCCCTGTAGAACACATTTTTGGTCTCTTGCCAATGCTGTCTTCCAGCTTGTCAGTGTCCCCCACCCTAAGAGGAGTGAAACGCGGTGCCCTCAGGATTCCTCCTCCCCAAGAGCCCCTGCCCCCCACCCCCACTCTGCCTCCCCACTTGCTCTGTCACTGTGTCTTCCCTCAGGACTGGGGGGTGATGAGGAACACGGATCATGACACTGCCCTCGTTCAGAGACTGTTCCTGTTTTCTTCTTCCTCTGGAATGGGGGCTCACTCATACCTCTGAACTTTACAGCCTCCATTTGTCTGAAAAGTGGCTCGTGACTGAAACAGAAGTAGAACCCTCAGCTCCGTGACTTGTGTGTGGACTTCAACAGCTCCCCAGAACTGCAGCCAGAATCACTTCTCATTTTCCCAGCAGCACTGGGAATTCCTCAGGTGCCGAGGATTGGCTGGAGAAAGCGCCGTGTGACGCTTATGAAAGTCTTTATTGCACCGGGCCTCAAGGACGCAGACCTGCAAGGATGAGGTGGAGAGTTCAAAACCCCAGAGCCAGTTCGTGCCTCAGGAGCTGCAGCGAGCCCTGGAGCCTGGGACCCCCACTGATGGGGAAAATGCAGCAAACACTGACGGGTGGGCAGAGGCCTCAAAAGCAACTGAGAGCAGTTCTTCTGTTTGCTTTTGAAGTCCTCTTGGTGGTGAGCCAAGACCATCTGGTTCCGATGTCTGGGTTTAGGTTTAGTCTGGACTCCTTCTCAGCAGGTACTCGATGCGGCAGGGAGGGGCTGAGCTCTCCCTATTAAAGTGCCAGCTTTGCACTGTCCCCTCCTCTGCTGGGGGCGGGGTGGGGGCCGCATGAACTCTCCACCCCAGCTCCGGACTGGCCTGTGGGCCTGGGCTGTTCCACTTCACCTGCCACCTCCTCCTCCGGCTCTTCCCCCAAACCCCCTCCTCCTTCTCCTCCCCCTCAAAGCCCTTCTCCTCTTCCCTGCAACCCCCCTCCCTCCCTTGACTCTCCCTCCCCATCCCCTCCTCCTCCTCCCTGATCCCCCTCCTCATACTCCTCCTTCCCCCACCTCCCTTCCTCCTCCTCCTCCTCCTCCTCTTCCTCCAACCTCCGATCCCCCCTTCCTCCTCCTCCTCCTCGCCTGAACCAGGCCACTCAGCCACCTGGGGAAAGCTGGCATCAGGCCAAAGGGCCAAACACCCCCCACCTTGCTCCCCGCCCCCGGCAGGCACAGCTCTGCTGCTCGGCCCCATCACCATTTCATTCCAACCGAGGGGAATTTTAAAAAATCAAGGCCTGTAATCACATCTATGGAGCGAGATGAGATGGATGCTCAGAAGGCGGCCAGCTTCAGAGGGGACGAGCGCTGAGCCCAAGGACAGCGGAAGCTGGGCTGTCAACAAAAGGCAGCTCTGCTCCTCTTACCTCCAGAAGTTGAGAGCATCTGAGCTAATGAGGGAGAGAGCGGGCCACTCACGGGGACCAGAGCACCCACCCATCCACCGGCACAGAAGGGCCAGGAACACGGGTGCTATTTCCCGACACCTCTTTGGGAAAACTGCTCTTTGGCACTGAACTCGGGATGTCCGCACGGGATGGACACATCAGGAATCTGAATTAAATAATTTTACTGGAGAAGGAATAAAAAGAGGGAAACACACACACACACGCACACTCTCTCTCTCTCTCTCTCTCTCTTTCTCTCTCTGAGCACCAAAGCAAATCCCCAAAATCTCCTCCTTTCAGTCAGGTTAGCACGGCGTGTCCCGAGAACAAACAAGGCGGTCAGGGCAGGCGTGACCGACCACCCCTGGCCGTGGGGGGCTTCACGCGGAATGGACCGGGGTCCCGCAGTGCTTGTGCCACAGGTCGATGGCCTTGCTCACGATGGCATCCGAGCTGTCCTGGGGAATCTGAGAACGAGAGACCCAGAGAGAAACATGAGATGCTCCCGCCCCAGCTCACTTCCTCGCTCACTCTGGCCTAGAACTTGGGTCCTGCAGATTTCAGAGGTTTTCAGAAAATGCTCTTACTGGGGCTGGAACAATAGCACAGTGGGTAGGGTGTTTGCCTTGCACGTAGCCAACCTTCGTTCGATTCCCTGAGCACCGCCAGGAGTAGTTCCTGAGTGCGGAGTCAGGAATAACCCCTGTGCATCGGCGGGTGTAATGCAATGCTCTCACCTCTGTGTCACAGGTCACTGGGTCACTTACTGAGAGCTGAAGGTCAGGCGGCCTGGATCATTTCCCGCACTGCCCACCCACAGAACCCTGAGGTAGAGCCCATTTTTACACCAGATGCCGGTCCTGTTTCCTGGGGCTGCATCCAGGGTGATACGAGGTAACCCCGGGCTGATTCTCAGCCCTGCCTGCCAGCCATTAATTATTAATGTGAGCCATTAATTATTACAGGATGACTCGTTTACCCACACACATTCACAGGGCCCTTATTTTTTCCACTGGGTCCCCATTCCAATGGAAGCGTTCATCTTTAAAACGAGAACAGATTTTGGGGGGTGCAGTGGAATTTATTCAGTCTCTGACTTCTATCTCTTGTCGGGTTAAGGACATCCCAAAAGAGAGAGAGGAAGAGTCGCTCACGCAGATCTTTCAACACACACCGGGGCTACACATAAGCACCTGAACAAATTCCACGGGGATTTCACCAGAGATAGTAATAGAAGAAATGAACAGGCTGATAAAAACAGCCCCAAGAGCACTTCCTGTCTAGTGATGAAGACTGTTCACCATGGAGTGACAGGACTCAGCCCTCCCCATTCTGGGCAAGTCCCCCGGGACAGAATTTGGTCTCAGACCAACTGTCTCACTGCTTTATCCACAGAGGAAACTCAAACTCCCCCGCACCCCCGCCCTGGAAACTTGGGGTCATCAGTGGTACCTGGGGCTTTCTCCTGGCTCTGTGCTCTGGGAAGGCTCTGGAGAATCATACGTGGTGTCGGACGAACCCAGGCGGGCTATGTGCAAGGCAACCACTTTTCCCACTGTTCTGTTATCTCTCTGGCCCCATGAGCTGACCTTTTTTCAAGGGAAAATTTGTTTCTTATAAAAGCATGCCATGTTGCTTCTCTGAAATAACAGTATTGCAATAGGAAAATCCGGCTTGCTAAACTAACTTCCTCTCTAGAGTGAAAATAAAATAAAGTCCACTTACATTTTCCAGAAATCTTTTTATCTTCTCTGCATTGTTCAGTGCCATCACTTTTATTTTAAAGGTTAATAAAATTTCCACAGCTACGAAAACTAGAATCTTACAGGATCCACTCACGACTTTATCCCAAACCCTACCAAAATAATAAAGAAAGACAATCAAATGACATGGATCTAAAATTGTTCGCCTAGACACCTCAAATAGAGTTAAATCAAGTGATTTTTAGTGTAAGTATAAATTTCAACCATGAACTATGATAAAATAAAATCTCCACCAATAAAATGTCAGTCAATTCAATTTTCAATTTCCAATAGTTCAAGTTTCTTAAACTTGCCCAAGGACTTTAAGAAACCATTTGCAAGGACCATACAGTAATTACGCTGTTCATTCCTGTAACTCTTTAAAGTTGCTATTACTCTCAACATAGCATAGAGATTGTCCTGCCTGGTTCCCTGCGGACACCTTCCTTCAACTGCATCAGGAAATCTTGGCAGGAAGAGCCAGGACGCCAAGACACCAATCACGCGTGTCTGGAACCAATAAAAAAGCTAAGTTCGAACATCAATTCTTTGCCTTCAGTTACTTTATAAAGATGCCATAATGGAACTAGGAACTATCAAGATTTTCTCCAGATTAGGCTGCACCATTGTTCTGATAAACAAAAGCTAAAGCTCCGTTTCAGATCTGAGTATTGTACCGTTTCTAACATGCTGAGAGACTCAACTTTTGCATGTCCTGTTTTCTGATAGTATTATTACAGTTAGATTCATGTCAATTTCCTGTATCTCGGTATAACAAGCAGGACTGTGCATCTTGTTAGGTGCTGAGAAGGCCACTTCAAGCTGTTGTACTGTTCTAAAACAGGCTTCTATTCTGAGGAACGGGCGCATGAAAATCCAGGACTCTTCAGACTCGAGCCTTCGGCAAATACTTGCCTCTGTAAACTGGAGTCAGGTAAGCACCCCGCAAAGCACCTCTTGAACCAGAGATCGTAGGGAAGCCTGGACACGGCGGAACACGTCTTCAGGTGACTCAGCAGCCTGCTGTCTTCCAGATTCAAGTATTGTTCAAATGCCTTTGGCTAGTGATTAAAAGGAAGAGAGATCCTGTGAGCAACAGTACCTTACAGTCCACAAAGGCAGGGAAGGATCACGCTGGACAAGAGCTGAGGGTTAAAAGAAGGTAAGGGATATTCTGGATAACCTTTCAGTATCAATATTGCAAACCACTGTACAAATGGACGGAGGGAGGGAGGGAGGGAGAGACAGAAGAAAATCGCCTGCCACAGAGGCAGGCAGGGCAGGGGGTGGGGTGATGGGAGAGAACCTGGGGACACTGGTGCTGGGAAATGTACACTGGTGGAGGGATGGGTGTTGAAACTGTGTGACTGAAATTCAATCATGAACAGCTTTGTAAAAATAAATTAAAAATTTTAAAAATAAAGAAATAAAAAGAAAAGCACCTGTACTAAGGGTCCACTGGCAAAGGATGGGCTGCAGGTCAAGCCCTAAAGCCTGGCCTCCCTATCCGGAGCACAACTGGACCACGGGTCACCTCCATCTGCAAACGCCAAGGTGGACTTGACTAAGTATCTGCCTGTCAGGGCTCCTGGCAGGATAGAGCTCCTGGAGGTCTCTCAGTCAGAGAGAGCTAGAGGAAATGGAAGAAAGAGAGCGTGGAACTAGACAGGGCCCCTCCATCAGCGACCATACACCAGCTGGCCCATGTGGATGCCCGGGCTCAGCTGGCAGACACTGCTCCTTGCAGGAATGAGCTCACAGGCCCGGTGAGAGAGGGGACAGGGGGGTACAACGTACTCTAACAGGTCCAGGCCCAGTGGACAGTATAGGGGTGCCAGGATCACCCAGGGAGTCCTCACCCAGGCTTCCAAAACTAGAACCAATCTCCCAGAAGGGACACAAAAAGAATGGACAGGAGCACGTTGTGCAAAGATGGGCCCACCTGTAAATATATGGGCTTGCTCCCCCCCCCCCCTTTTCATTCAAGGAATCTCTTTCTGTCCAATTCTGCTACCCTTTAAGAATTCCTAAAGGGAGGTCAGAGCAAAAGTATAGCAGATAGGGGGGTTGCCTTGCACGGGGCCGACCCGGTTCAATCCCCGGCACCCCATATGTCCCCTGAGCACCGCCAGGAGTAATTCCTGAGTGCAGAGCCAGGAGTAACCCCTGAACACTGCCAGGTGTGACCCAAAAAAGAAAAAAAGAAAAAAGAATTCCTCCTAAAGCTTCTTTCAAACCCTACCAACCAGTCCCTACATCAAGGGCTTTACTTCCAAGTACTAGTTCACCAGGCGCCTTTCCTGGCCAGCCTTGTGGCCGATTCTGCCAGTAGACTAAAGTGGCATGGTTGGAATACACACACAGACACTGATGCATGATGTCCTGAGCTAAGGAACTGCGGCCAAAAGTCACCCACTGATACAGTTACGTGACAAGTTGAAACTATACTGTCTTTATCAGGCTCTGAGCTATGACTGTAACTGATAAGTAGGAATCTTATCAGTTTTGGTCACTACTACTTCTCCAGAACCTTGAATTATTTGGCCTGGTAAGCTTCCAATGCGTAATTTTTGAGTGAACGGATCGTGTAAATTAAATAATATAATACGTTAGTCAACATCTTGATGACCATTTAATGTACATCTCTATTGCCAGTCTAACCTTTTTCTAATGATCTTCCCTGATACATAATATTGTAAGAAATCTTAAAAATACAGAAAAGAATAGAAAGATCACTTCTACCCAAAGATAATTATTATCACTAATAATTTCACATTCATCCACTTTGCTGCATATCTCACACATGAACCTGCCTTTTACTAATTGCACTCATACCAAATATACCAGATAGCATTTGGCCCTCCGTCCAACATATACTGTAAGCATTCCCCAGACTAATTACAAAGGGTCTTAATAAAAAGAGCTTCCGAAAACAAAGAAGGAAAAGGTGAAAAACTCTGCAGGAAAAAATGCAAATGGCTCTTACGCACAGGAAAAGGATGTTCAACCTCACATATAACAGAGGAGAACTCAAAGGCTAAAGACAGCACAAAGACCAACTGTCTCGCTGCTTTATCCACAGAGAAGATGCAAACGACCCCCATAGCAACTCTGGGTGATAGGTGGTACCTGGAACTTTCTCCTGGCTCTGTGCTCTGGGATCAGTCCTGGCAATGCTCTGGAGGACCATATGTGGTGTCGGACCCGAACCCAGGCATGTCACGTGCGAGGCAAGCACCTCCCTTACTGTACTAGAGAAGACAGCACAAAGAGACAGGATTCATGCCGCACATGCAAAACTCCCAAGTTTGATTCGCAGTGCCCCAAAACACCACAGAAGAGGCTGTCTGGGCTCCTGAACATTAGCGAGCTGCCCCAGGCGGGTATCACTGGATCTAGGCAGCAAAGCATCACCAGCCCCAGCACAGAACCAAGGTCACAATGTTATGCAAAGTATCGCCAGGAATGGTCCCCGAACCCCCCAGCAGCACTCGTATTCCCTCTCCCTGTTGACTAAAGAAACCACTATGAGATCTACATGAGGAATTTAGAAATACCTTAGGAAAAGAGCAGATGCAATTCACTATGGAGGCAACAAACTCACTTTTAGGGAACTATTCCCAAAATTATACTGCAGGGCCGTAGCAATAGTGCAGCGAGTAGGGCACTTGCCTTGCACAGGGCCAACCCGAGTTAGATCCCCAGCACCCCACGTGGTCCCTCAAGCCTACCAGAAGTGATTCCTGAGCAAAGAGCCAGGAAAAACCCCTGGATACTGGCAGGTATGACCCCAAAAACCAAAGAAAAAAAATTATACTGTAAACATGTGAAAAGGTGTATGCACAGAGATATTTATCTATGACCATGTGTACAACAGCAAAGACAGGAAATATTCTAAATGACTAAGAACAAAGCACAGGTACTATAAACCAGGGTACAGATACACAACAGAACTATAGAGGCAGCCAGAAAAAAATAGAACGGGAATGTTTCGATCACATGGCACGATCTCCAACATAAATCACAGAAAAGCAAGAGAAAGAAAAGGTGTGACTCAGGCCTCTGTTACATCAGAGAAGGAGGGGGACAATTTACATATGTAAACTTTCTTATGAAAGGAGATAACATTTATGTTGCCTGAAATTTTGGTACACAGAAAACGGGAGGCATGAGAGGTGTGATGACTATAACTGCATTCTACAAGAAAACCTTTAGGTTACTTCCCACAAATGATCCTAAAATTCTTACTTTGTAATGAAACAAAGCACGACTCAATCAACAAAGGTTACCCTTTGTTGACATCAATAAAATCAATAAAATCAATACAAATCTGACATCAATAAAAGGGACAGGGGCTGGAGTGATAGCACAGCGGGTAGGGCGTTTGCCTTACACGCGGCCAACCCGGGTTCGATTCCCAACATCCCATATGGTACCCCGAGCACCGCCAGGAGTGATTCCTGAGTGCAGAGCCAGGAGTAACCCCTGAGCATCCCTGGGTGTGAACCAAAAGGCAAATAAATAAATAAATATGCATTAAAAAATAAATTAAATTAAAGGGACCTGAGCAAGGAACTGATGTTTGAGTGAGATGTTCACTGCTGGCGGTATGTATCCAAAAGCCATCGAACATTTTTTGGATAACTTTTATAACTGCAGTCATGAAACATTGAGAGCTCATTTGCTTTAGCGGTTAAACACAGTCAAGGCTCCTACAAGAGAGTGACAACAGAGAGAGAGAGAGAGAGAGAGAGAGAGAGAGAGAGAGAGAGAGAAAGAGAGAGAGAGAGGTCTTTCCAGGTCCTCCTCTGTGTGTAGCTGCTTGGCCTCAACAGAAAAAGCAGCAGGTCAGAGAGAGGCCACGCCAGGGGCCACGCAGGCAGGATCCTGCATACCAACAGGCCACTGGCAGCCACAGTCCATCCTCCTGCTGTCAAAAGCCCATCTCTGTCCACTGCACACAGTTCCAGGACTGGAAATCCACCATACTTGGTGATGCCAAGTGATTTGGTAAAACTGCACACATTCGAAAAGATGACAGACAATACAAAAATCTACTTTCCCAGGAAGCTAAGAAGCCCTCCACTGACCAACAGCTGCAAACACAACGGTCAGTGGAAACAACGGAAGGAGGAAAGCTGGAAGGAACCACTTGACTAAAACAAAGAGCCACACAAAGGAAATTGAGCTCTTCTTGTACAATCTGGAAAACTTTAAGGAAAAGAAGATCCCCAACTCTCTGAAACTGTGCAAGGCTCTGGAAGGTGCATAAGTTGACCTGGTTCTCATGGCGCCAAGTCCGAGAACGCAGACAACACCCCCTCCTGTGTTTTTGGTTTTTGGTGTTTCTTTTTCCTTTTGGTCCTCAACAGCAGCTCCTGGCAGTGCTGGGGGACTAGGAGGTCCCTGGGTGGAACCTGGGTGCCCACATGCAAAGCGTTCACCAGCCCTTTGGGCTATCTCTGCGATGCACCAGAGTTTATAAAAGTACCTCCTAGCTTCCGGGGCTGGAGCAATGGCACAGCAGGTAGGGTGTTTGCCTTGCACACAGCCGAACCAGGTTTGATCCCTCCATCCCTCTTGAAGAGCCCGGCAAGCTACCGAGAGTATCTCACCCACATGGCAAAGCCTGGCAAGCTCCCTGTGACGTATTCGATATGCCAGACACAGTAACAACAAGTCTCACAATGGAGATGTTACTGGTGCCTGCTCGAGCAAATCTATGAACAATGGAAGGATAGTGCTACAGTGCTCCTAGTTTCCACTGCAGACAGGCATGGCCATGTGGCACAGTCTGCCACTGAAAGACACAGAAGGAAAATATGTTCAAAGCAGATAGGTCCAGGACAGACAGGCCAGGCTGCCATGGAACCACCTGAGGCTGTTGAGACCCTGAACTTCTGCCGCCAATATCTTGGGCAAGACAGAAGATTATGGCGGAGGATGCTCGGGCCCAGGGGATTGAAGCCTGGGTCCCTGTCCCTAACCCTGCACTGAGGTACCTCCCTTAACTCTGAAATTTGGTTACGGGGATGAAAACACTCAAGTTTCTGTTCCCTGTGCATTCTATGATGCACAGTCAAATTTAAACCTCAGCTAGCAACAAAGGACAACTCTAGGCCAAGTTGTGGATTCTGGACCCGTTGAGCAGGCTGGGCACACCCTGGCCTGCCCTGGGCTATTCTCTGATGTACTGTCCAGGGCAGCTTTGGTGCAATGACAACAGAGCTGAGTGGTTGTAGTAGAGGCGTAGGGACAGTATTTGCTGACTGCATCGGAGAGGGCACTGCTCAGACCTGCGGCAGCACCCAGAGTGCAGAATCTTCTCTGGAGATCTGCAATCCCATCGCTCACTCCCACATCCTGACAGCCCAAATGTGTGTCCCTTACCAGCTGGGGCAAAGCCTCCCGGAACTTGTTATTTAACTGGTTCACGAAGCAGCGGGTGATCCAGTAACAGTCCACGCTGTCCTCCACCATCTCTTCCATGGCTTTAGCAATGGCAAGAAATACTTCATCTTCCGACTCCTGAAAGATGAATAGTAAATCTCAATAGAAAAACAAAAGAGAGGAATACATTTTTTTTTAAATGAAGAGAGAATCCTGAACCCTACATTTTTAGGAGACTGCATTAGTAAATCAACGCACAGGGCTAGAGCGATAGTACAGCGGGTAGGGCATTTGCCTTGCATGCGGCCAACCCAGGTTCAATTCCCAGCATCCCATATGGTCCCTGAGCACTGCCAGGAGTGACTCCTGAGTGCAGAGCCAGGAGGAACCACTGAGCATCGCCAGGTGTGACCCAAAAGGGAAAAAAAAAAAAGTAAATCAAAGTACACCATTCACTACTGAAGGGAAAACTTGAGTGAGACAGGGATGAGAAGCCAGTGAGGTGGACTGGAATGGGTCTTGCTCATGAATGTCCAGGCTGCAGGCCCACAGTCGGGAATGTTCTGTCTCTAACACAGAGGCCATCAGAGATAGGAGAAATGAATCATGAGCATGGTGCTGGGTCTCTCCACCCCAAAATATTCTCTGGGCAAGAGGAAAACTTCTTTCAAAAGGATGTGATAAACTGTAAAGTAATAACTGGTGGACACATGCCAGTTCGGTAATTTGCAAAAATCAAAGGACTCCAATAGGATCAAGCATTGTCTTTGCAAGGCATTCATAAATAGCTTTCTGATTCCACTTTCTCTTCCAACACTTCAGAGTTTAAAACACCCCTAGAATTAGAAGTTTAGAAATCAGAAGAATGGCATTTCTCAAACATCTATTTCTCAAACCAGAACAGTTGTATTTAAAAAAAAAAATGGAATAGAACAGTAACTTTCACAGAATAGTACAGCTTACAGGCAAATCCAATTTTGAACAATTTCTTGTGTAAGCCCCCTCCGATTGTTAAGATGCCAGCTCGAACTGGGAATTGCATAAATACAGCCAAAGCCCAGGAGCTAGACTCATTCTTTCCTCTCCTTTTTCCTCAACCCTGTGTCTTCCCTTTAAGAACAGTTAAGTAAGGAAAAGCAAGGAATTCATCCGAGATGAAGTTTAAGGTATGTTGGGGTCTAGGGAAACTCAGGCCAGGGAGAGGTCAGGACCACAGAATCGTGGGGCCTGCAGATCGGAGCCAGAGAGGATGCTGGCTGTGGGATAACATTGGTTTGTCCTTTCTGCCTTGCCACAGGGAACTTAGGTTTACTGGGTTACTCCCATCACAGTGCTCCCACTCCTGTGTTTACTTGTAACTTCTTTCTTTGTGCTCTGCTTCCCCAACCGGTCAATCACCTTGATCTCCTAATCAGGCTCCGTTAACTTGTAAATATTGCTTTTCTCTTCTTCTTTAGTCATTTGCATAGTTAACTCAGAGCAATGTTCTTTTGTATAGACACGAGCATAATGCTATGCTTCTGTACCTTGGGAGTTAATTGACTCTGAATGATACTCACCCATAAGTATCTGTTCTCTCGATTTAAGCCTCGGTTGCCCTTACTTCATAACACCCCAAAAGCAGGGTCCCGAAAAGAGACTGGAGAGACCCAGGGCAAGCAGTGAACTACCCTGGCATCAAAATGGGCCTGGCCAAAGCGCCAAAATACTTAACTATAGGTTAAGAGCATGGTCATGGACGGATTCTGTGAGGATCCAAAAAGTAACATCTGAATTAGGATCCTGCTGGGGTTGGGAAAGATTAATCTGGCCTGAGCACTAGAGTCTGAGATCTACAGCGAAATGTCCCCAGGAGAGCCACCCTACAGGCTCAATGTATCTCTTCCTGTGTCCATACAGAAAGGACATTGCTCTGAATTGACTATGCAAAGGACTTAAGGAGAAGAGGAAAGCAGTATTTACAAGTTAACAGAACACAAAGAAAGGGGTTACAAATAAACACAGAGGAAGAGAGCACAGTGACTGGAGTGACCCAATAAACCTAAGCTCCCCATGGCAAGGCAGAAAGGACTAACCAATGTTATCCTACATCCGGCGGTGCCAATGACATACCGGAAAATGAGCAAAGAAGTAAAATATACTAAAGGCTAACAGGGACCTTTTTATATGTCTATCAAAAAAAAAAAAAAGGCAGTTGCAGCTATGAAAGGATGGGGCTAGAAGGAACTCAAGACACTGATTTAGACTGGAGAGGCCGGGAGACACTGCAATGTCACCACTGACCAGGTCTGACCCGTGGCACCGCATACGTTCCCAGAACCCTGCCAGGAGTGATTCCCTGAGCACCGCTGTGTGTGTGTGTCCCCCTCCCCAAAACAAAACCAAAAATGTTATCATGAAACCTGAGGGAAGAGTATGACCCTGAGCCTTCTAACACAAAGAAAAATATGCCCTGTCACAGACGCAGGGTGGGATGGGGGGGTGGGAGGGATACTGGGATCCGTGGTGGCGGGAAATGGGCACTGGTGGAGGGATGGGTATTTGATCATTGTATAATTGAAACCCAAGCACAAAATTTTAAGTCTACAACTGTACCTCATGGTGTCTCACTAATAAAAATTTTAAAAAAATATATATGATAATGTCTAACTCCTAAAAAAAATATGTAAAATTATATAAGTATGTAAGAACCAGTTTGCTGGGAACAAAGAAACGCAAAGATACACCAGGAACAATGAACTACACTTTGCGTTGTTGTTCTTGGTAATACCACGCTCCATTCCGAGAAGAAATGGCTGGTTCCTTGGGTAGGAAAAAATGGATGATGAGCCTGAAATACCTCTGCTGTGCCAGGAGGTAAGGAAATGCTCAAAATGATGCAACTTGTCAAAATGACACACAGGACAAATTTGAAGGCGCTCCACTACTCAAATCTGAGACAATGTAAACATCAAAATAAATAACAGATGTAGAGATCACTGAATGAAAAAAGAATTTGTAATCTAAATTCACATAAATAAGGAAGAAGGAAATACTTCCTTATGGGGGAAAAATAAAATTAAAAAATCCACTAATAACTAATGCAGAAGTGAATAAGGAGTTAGAAAATCACTCTTTGGCAATCTGCCCAGCAAAATCTGCTTCAGGCTGGAATCGTTAGAAGATGAATATTTCAAGTCTCAAGAGCACCTTCCCACAGTTACTTACTAATTACAAAAGGAAAAATAGTAACCTTTCATGGGAGAAACCTGGCACATATCACCTTAAGCCAAGCTCAGAATGAACAGTAATTTAGTCATTAATATAATACTTCTATGGCAATCCTGCCAATAATATCATGAGCCGATTTTAATTCTGAGGACTTCTAGACAAAACCAAGGTAAGAAACATTCTACTCTCCAGTATGCTTCAAAAAAGGGTCAAGGTTATAAAAAAATAGGAACTGAACTACGTTAAAGGCAACTTAAAAAGACCTGGCAATAAAGGCAATGTCTGATCCTGGATCCTGGATCAGAAAACGACATGTGTGGGGCAAGAAGCAAACCACAAAGGGTCTCTGCATCAGTCAGCAGTATCTCTTCAATGCTAAGGCCTGAAGCAAAACCTATTTGTCACTGAATGCATTTTTGGGACAACTGGTTAACCATGAATGGAATGTGCAGATTAGCTGTTACTATCAGATCAGTGTCAATTTGTAGTTTTCCATGACTGTAGCACTGCACTGTCCTCCTGTTGTTCATCGATTTGCTCGAGCGGGCCCAGTAACGTCTCCATTGTGAGACTTGTTGTGACTGTGTTTGGCATATCAAATACGTCACAGGTAGCTTGCCAGGCATTGCCATGTGGGTGAGATACTCTCAGTAGCTTGCCGGGCTCTCCAAGGGGGTAGAAGAATTAAACCCAGCTCGACCTCACTGGCCTCGCACAAAGGAAAACGCCCTGCCAACTATGCTATCGCTCCAGCCCTATAAACAATTCATGTTGGCGTGTGTCCTTGTCTTTCAGAAGTACAGACCAAAGGATGCTGCAATAATAGGATATATTATCTGCATTTTACCCTCAAAAGTTCAGTAAAACAAAAATTTGTAAGTCTACAACTGTGCCTCATGGTGTTTCACTAATAAAAATTTAAGAAAAAAAAAATAATAAAAAAAAGTTCAGTTAAAAAAAAGGTAGGCATATGTAAGAAAGTAGCAAAACAAGTAAGGTAATATGTTAATAACTGGGGAAAGTGGGTTAAGGGCATATGAGAATTATTGTACTACTCTTTTAAGTTTTCTATGAGTTTGAAGTTACTTCAAAATAAATTTTGAAAAACAGGAAGACTGGGTCAGAATGTACATTTATTCAATAGAAGGCAAAACATGATACAACTAGAGAGAAGCTAGGCGAGTGCAGAGGAGAGCAGAGTATCAAACAAAAGTACCACTGACCAGTGGATAGGAGGGACTTCGAGGCAACTTCCCCAACTCCAGCTGATACATGCGGAGATAGGTTTCGACCTGAGGCGTGGCATCACTGACAAAGCGGATCACTTTGAGGGCGTGAAGGACATCCGAGTACTGTTCCTTGCGATAAAGCATCACCTGGGCATGGGACTCGTGGTGAGGAGGGAGGATCCCTGCACAAAGACAGAGAGTGAGGGTTAGAGAGAATGATACTGAAACAACACCAAGCACCCCTGTCCCAGATAATTCAGTGTGACGTGGCCCACAGCTCTGACTAGAACTCATACCAACATTTGACCGTAGCCTCTGAGAACTCCTCATTGTAAAAAAATCTTAAATGTAAATGCTACAGATATTTGAAGGCAACAGCATCACTGACGTTAAAAAAAAAAACTATCAACATTTTTATCCTATAAGTCCTGGGATCTCAGATAGAGAAGGGAGCACCAAATAAAGGGTGTTAGGAGGATCCACCAGGATGGGAGATGCATGCTGAAAGTAGACTGTAGACCGCATGATTGCTACTCAATGCCGCTTCTGCAAACCACAGCACCAAAAAGGAGAGAGCAAGAACAAAAGGAAATGTCCTGCCACAGAGGCAGGGTGGGATGGGGGGGGGGGGGGGGCGAGGGTAGGGATACTGGGATCAGTGGTGGTGGAAAATGAGCACTGGTGGAGGGATGGGTACTCGAACATCATATAATTGAAACCCAAGCACAAAAATTTGTTAAGTCTACAACTGTACCTCATGGTGCTTCAATAATAAAAATTTTTAAAAAATAAAAAAATAAAAGTCCTGGAATAAGTGTGCTCCAAAAGTTTTTTAAATATCTAACAATTATAGAATAATTGCAATAATGATTTTTGTAATAATTACAATAATGATTTAATTCATTTAGAGGTTGTTAGCCTAGAGTCACCCTGTGCTCCTACAGGCTTATCACCAGATTTTTAAAAATTTTGTTGTGGGGGAAGGGGCCATATCCAGTGGTGCTCAGGGCCTATTACTGATTCTGTGACTCCTGGCAATGATCGGGGAACCACATGTGATGCCAGGATAAAACTGGGGTCAGTCATAAGCAAAGCAAGCACCCAACTGTTAGTACCATCTCTCTAGTCCAATCACCAGTTTTTGCAGCTGGTCCCTGCTATGAACTGAATTATCTCCCCCACAGCACCATTTGGTACCAATAAAATCACTTTCTGAGAGGTATGCAGACAAGAAATAATTCAGTCTCCAGGTGGAGAACCAATATTCAATAAAGAGCCTAAACTTATTTTCCTGACTGGTAGAATGACAAATGGTATCACCGTTCAGTATTTTTAGAGCTCAGTCTTCCCACCTTGGGTCTCATACCTAGAAGCACCTTCCATACCAATGCACGGTACATGGACGGGAGAGGGAATCTCTGACTAAACGTGCAGAGTTTCTCAATATCTAAAGGAAGAAAAGAGAGAAACTTTACATGCTGATCCCAGACAGAAAAATGCCCTGGGTTTTATTTGTACAAAGAAAGCAGAGGAATTCATTTCTTCAAATGAAGTTTACTACCCAGTGAACTAATCAAGAGAATGCAACACTGGTCCACCCCATGTCCACCAACCATCTATTTAAAAACAATTCGTATTTTATATTACAGAAGATGCATTCTGCATATATTGTTACATTCCCTGTAACATTAGAGGTCCTTACTAGTCATGGAATTTCTCTCATTTAATAACCCCACTGAGAACTTGTTGGACAGAAACTACAGCTCACAGCAGGTAGGTGACTTCACTGGATTAACACAGTGTCCTCAACTGTGAATACTCACATTTCCAGTAAACCAAATCTAGCTGCTCTGGATCTCAATCGCTCCTTGTCAAGTGAGAATGGTAGAACCAGACATACTAAAAGCACAGATTGGCTAGTGAAGATCAAAGAACTAATGGGAAATGTTTTTGAAACCATAAAGCCAATCTCATGCCCATAAGTACTATTTTTATTCCTGCGTTCTGAACTCAAGGAATTACCCATGGCCATGCTCACGTGACCATATGAGATGCTGGGAATCGAACCAGATCAGCCACGTGCAAGGCAAACACCCTACCCGCTATGCTATGGCTCCAGCCCCCCCATAAGTACTATTTTAAATGATGGTTCCATTTATTTTACTTTCACTGAACACAAAACAGACTTTGTGATTACTGGCCTTAGAAGAAACTAAAATTGTATGTAATGCAATAAGAAAAAGTTATGGCCAGAACTGTCACAAATTTATTTAGCTTATGATGAGATCTCTAAAAATTAAGAAGAAAAATACAGACATGGGGGGTGCTAATAACAGAAAATATATTACTGAATTCTAAAGGAGTCTTTCCAAAATGTCTGGCGATTTCAGTGAAATACTTCTCCCAAATACCATTCTATTATCCTTTCACAAAAAATTAAGGTAGGTAACAAATCCCCTTGACTTTTTTAAGATAACATTTATTTCCTAACACCTGGGATGACTAAGAACCAATAATGTCAATTTACTTATAACTCACCCAGACGGTCATCTTTTAGGAGAATTTCTAATGATTTCTTTTCTTCCACTCCACGAAATCCCACTTTCTCATAATACACTGAACGAAAGTTTCTCTGAGAGTCCTCAGACATGTTTCATCCTTGGAGCAAAATAAGAGCAGGAGAAAGGGGAATGTGAGCCTAGAAACAAAGAAATGAACTTTAAAAAAAAAAATTCCAACTTTGTCTTGTGACTCCTTTGTCTCCTGAATCCCATAATAAATCTATGAATACTATGAATCCTATGATAAACTGCCCTTGTGTCAGACTCAACATTAAGTCATTCCTTTTAAACAACTCTGTCCCGCTTCACTTAGCCAAAAACTAAGACACAAAGCAAACACCCTCTAAGATAGTTAAATAGTGCCGGGTTCCTACACTGGGAATCCGACCTTAGGAGAGCAGAGTCATTATTTACGCAAATAGAAAAATGAATGAATGAGAAATCAGTCCTCAAGCAAAATCGGTTGCCACACAGGATGAACGATAATCCTGCTTTCACAAACATTATGCATCCTTGACAACCTTGACAATAAGACTACAATCTGAAATGTTAATGGTTTCCTTGGGTCACTGGTTCCAGATTTCAATTTTTTTTTTTTTGCTCAACTGTTTTATAAAACGGGCCTATTATGAGGAATTGCATTTTTTCCCCAGCTATTATAACAAAGCCAACAGGTTCCTTAGTTTTCTTTCACTTTCCACACAACCCTATCAAATGTCATTATCAATCTTCCAAACCCAGAGCAGATGAGGAGCATTCAATGGACATCAGGGTGGGCATCAGAGACGGGTAAAGGAACGCGGGGGCGACTGGCAAGGGATTGCCCCCCGAGAGGAAGATGGAAAAAAGGGGGGGATTTCTCATGCATCTGCTCTCAGAAATCGAACGTCGGGTGGTCTCGAGGGCCCCCCCCCCCCCAATGACCCGAGACTGGGTGCGGCGCGTTCTCCAAAAGACGGCTGCACCGCCTGACTCCCCACGCTTCGAGAAGTGCAATGGCAAGCTGAGTTTGCAGAAGGCTGGTGTCTTCCCTGCAGAAAAAAGCAACGCCCCCCACATCCCCCCAGCTGCAGGGCGAGAAGGGGCCCTGCAGGAACCCCGGCAGACGCGTCTTCCGAGTCCGTGCGTCCAGCCGCGGTGGCACAGGCTCCGCACGCTCCCTCTCCCCACCCCGGGGGAACCCCCGCTTCCACCCGGGCGTCACCTCTAGCCAGCGGGCAGCGCCCCCGGGTAGAGCCGAAGCGGCGGGGGGCGCCGCGCGCTCCGAGCGCCCGGCCGGGAAGACGCGACCCCGGCGGCGCGGCGTGACGTCACGGCAGGTCGCGGGGCGGTGCCGGCAGCGCGCGTGCGCAGAGAGCGTGCGCCAAAGATGCGCGCGCGCACCTAGGAGAGGGGCGGGTCTCGCTCCTTTGGAAGCGTTTAGGTGGGGGTTCCCCGAGCCAGAGCTCCCCTGTCCAGTGTTTGTGCGAGCCCTCGACTTGGTTTCAAGGCGTTATCTCCCTAACCCCCGCGCCTTGTAATGTGCAAAGCAATGAAAACCCAGGCAAGAGAGCCAAAGTTTTCCCAGCACTGGCCTGGGAGTGGGCAGGCGTGGAAGAGGTCCAGCGAAAAGGGGGTGACTTAGGGGCTCGGGGTGGGGCGTGGGAGGAGCATAGGCGCCCCCTCGTCCCCCCACCTCAGTGCGACCCCGTCTTCCTCATCAGTGATCCAGGGTCTGATTTTGATGTAGGCAGGCAAATAGGGCAGAAGTGACATTACAGTTTTTCCCAGCAGTAAATTTCTTGGGAAGTAATAGCACTGAAGCTGCAAAGGCCAACCTTGCAGAAAACAGGAGCTATGGCCTGATAAGAACCTCACCTGACCCCAGCAACAGACCCAGAGAAGCTCCAGCAGAAATAAAAGGCCAGGAAAGGAATTTCAAAGAGGAACCGTCACCACTCCCAATCCGCCTAGGCAACCTCCTTAGCAACGAACTTTGACCCAGGTAGAAGTCCCACATGGGGTAGGTTGGAAAACCCTATAAAGGCCACCATGAACTAAGGACAGGCACGCATACGCTGCCCTAGCCTATGTGCTACTTAAGCCTGTGTGGCCAAGCACTTGGGTCACAAGTGAGCACATGGGTCACCCGCATCTCCCCTCTTGAGATGTGTACTCTCTTGCTTTTGTGTCTAATGCTGGAATGTGTGTAGAAGCTCTCTCTGCCCTTGGAGAAGCCCGGGTTCTCTCTTGAGCCAGTTACTCTCCACTCTCTCCCACATTCTCTCCCTCTTTCCCTTCAAAATCTCCAAATAAAAACTGTAATTTCACTGTCTGTCTTCTCCTGAAATTCCTTTCTGCGAGGTGAGACAAGAACCCAGTAACCATGGGTCCCGGGTGGCAGAGGAGAATAGGGAGAAAGTGTCTTTCTCCTCCCTACTTCACATGAGCCATCCCTGGGGCTTACCAACATCAGAAGAATTCCATTTACTTCACCTCCACACTGAACCAACCTCTAAAGTTTACCATCTCCTTTTTCTTAACGTTAAAGCAGAAATCATAGCAGCGGTGAGTGTTAACTGAATTCGTGGTCTGATTGTTTGCTACTCAAAGGTGAATCCCTGAGAAGCAAGAGTTGGTGTGTGAGAACAACTGCTTTTTTTGTTGTTTTGTTTTGTTTTGTTTTTAATTTAATTTATTTATTTTGAATACCCATCCCTCCACCAGTGACCATTTCCCACCACCGCAGATCCTCAGTATTTCTTCTCTGCGGCTGTGTGCTGTAAAGATGGCACTGGGGGGGCAGGTTGTGGGCATGACTTCCGGAATCAGAGGTTACCTGGGAGCCGGGATGGTCCCGGCAGTTTGGAGGAGAAGTCCTGTTCCCGCATACTCGAGCTATGCTTGTAGAGGCTCCTGGTCACCGGGGTTCCATCTGGAGGAGGCGGGATGCGGCACCCACCCCATCTGGGACTTCCCGGTGATTTCAGTTCTTTTTGGGACCTGGTGCATTCTCCGGGAGCTGTGGAGCCCCCCACGAGGCCTTTCTTCTCTGCGGCTGTGTGCTGTAAAGATCTTGTTTTGTTTTTTTCAGGTCCTGGCAACTGAGATGGCAGTCTTGTTCAAAATAAACATTTGGCTTTTGAACTGTGACTGAGTGGGAAAGTAAGTTAAGGTAGAAAAGGGTGGTGGGTCAGTGAGAGAGAAGGGGTTTACTTTCATGGCTGCCCAACAGGATTAATGAATTTGGCAAATCATGATGATCCTTACAAAACTTTGAGATAACACCATTAAGCAACATCTCCTGGGGGCAGGAGTGTCCAAGATAGAGAAGGGTCCAGGCTCGTGGTCTTCCAGCTAACCTCAGCAGATGAATGAATCACTAAGTATCTGTTCTTTGTAAGCCCTGGAGATAACGTGGTTAAGTAACTGTTCCTCTGGGTGAAGTCTACATGACAGCCATCAGGGATCTCTTCAGAGGATGTGGTGTTTTGTTTTTTCAGCACCCAGTTACTGGACCTAGTTTAGCATTAAATACACATCACCTGCCAGAAAGGCTGCGGGGCCATGAGTGGTTCTACAAAGTATGTGAGTGGAGAACAAGATGGAATCTCTAATGTTCACTCCCTCACAGCATGGACACCAGGAGGCAATGAAAGGGGTAAACAAGGAAGGCATAAAGTGAGGGCACACAGCCCCATGTGCTGGGGGAAAAGGCAGTCGGGATGGAGAAGGGACCACTAAGTAAATGATGATTGGAAGGATCGCCCGGGATGGGAGATGTGTGCTTGAAAGTAGTCCAAGGATCAAACATGATGGCCTCTTAGTATCTGTATTGCAAATCATAATGCCCAAAATTAGAGAGATTAAGAAGGAATGTACCTGCCACAGAGGCAGGGGGTGGGATGGGGTGGGGGTTCCAGGAGGGACACTGGGAACAATGGTGGTGGAAAACGTGCATTGGTGGAAGTTTGGGTGCTCAAGCATTGTGTGACTGAAATGTAATCATGGAAGTTTGTAACTGTATCTCACGGTGATCCAATAAAATTTATTTTAAAACTATTTTAAATAAATATTTAAAAAATAATTTTTTTTAAAGTAAGGGCACAGAGCCTGACAACTGGCCTGGTGAACAGATACATGAATTAGCTACAGTTAGTTAGCTGGTAACTAAATTTGGTTGTCTTTGATGGCCATGTGGGCAATTTGGGTGCTTTTAAAGCCAACCCCTTTTAAAATGACGTGTGCTCAACACCCAAAAGAAGAGAGAGAACACAGGGGATTGCCCTGCCACAGAGGCAGGGGGGGATGGGGGGATGGGGGTGGGGGGATATTATCCATGGTGGTGGAAAATGGGCACTGGTGGAGGGATGGGTATCTGATCATTGTAAATCAAACCCAAGCACAAAAAAACTGTAAATCTACAACTGTACCTCATGGTGTTTCACTAATAAAAAAAAATTTTTAAAAAAATGACGTGTGCTCAACTCCTACCTTTGATAAAATTTCCATCAGAACTAAACATCTGATGAGGTTTTTTGTGGTCTTGCCCTGTCTTGCTTCAACTTTATCTACTCTTACGTGCTCAAGGCATTATCTCTTTCTGCTTAAAACAGTCCCCAGAGCCACGAGGCCTATTCCCTCACCTCAGTATTAGTTTTTGTTTTTCCTGTTGTTTGAATTGGGGCACACCCAGAAGTGCTCAGAGCTTACCTCTGGCTCTGCATTCAAGGATCACTCCTGATAGGGTTTGGGAGAACATATGGGATGCTGGGATCAAACCTGGGTCAGGCGCATGCAAGGCAAGCACCGTTACCTTCTATGCTCTCTCCAGCCCTTCAGTTTTGTTTAAATGTCCCTCCTGGGGTTGGAGGATAGTACAGCGGAAGGTGAGTGCAAGGCAACCCAGGTTCAATCCCTGGTACCCCAGATGGTCCCCCAAGCACTGCCAGGAGTGATTCCTGAACGCAAAGCCAGGAGTAACCCCTGGGCATTGCCAGATGTGACCCAAAAAGCAAACAGGCAAATGTCTTTCCCAAGGATTTTTACCCTACCTAAAATATCTCTAACTACCCTTACCAGCATTCCTGACCCCAAAGCCCCCACATCCAGCTATTTTTCCTTTGTCGCCCAGCACTTTCCCCCGACACTGTACATAACTGACTTTTTCTTATCCGTTGTTGTTATTGTTACTTGGTTAAATCTGTTGTCCCACCACCAGAGTATCACTTCCACGAGCTCAGAGAGCTTTGCTCTGGTCACTGATATATTTCAGATTTATAGAACAGTTCCCGGGCCATGGGAAGTGGCTGTGAAGAGGGTGCCCACTGACTGGGAACAGACAGCCTTTCTGTCTCAGGGTCGTATTTGTGCCGTGTGCTGTTACTGGGCATTATTGGACTCCTAGCACAGGAAAGAACTTGGAGGGATGTGGGCCAGGGAACAGCATGTGAATGCTGTTGAATGAATGTTGAATTCAATCCTTCCGGTGGTGGCCCCTTCCTGCCCCCTGGTGGTCAACTGTTCTTACTAAACTGTGGAAATCGTACAACTAAGCAAAACTTCAAGCCTCAAGGTTAGAAGGGTCTTGAAGGCCAACCGGTCCTATTAAATGGGATCAGAGACAAAGAGCGATTTCAGCATCTGGATATGCTTAGAAATGAATTTGTGTCTTTCCAATTTTAAATCAATCTGTGGTGGATTCCTAATTAACACTGTAGCACTGTCCCCCCGTTGTTCATCCATTTGCTCCAGCGGGCCCAGTAACATCTCCAATGTGAGACTTGTTACTGTGTTTGGCATATCGAATACATCACAGGGAGCTTGCCAGGCTATGCTGTGCGGGCAGGATACTCTTGGTAGCTTGCTGGGCTCTCCGAGAGGGGCAGAGGAATCGAACCCGGGTTGGCCTGGCCGGCTGCGTGCAAGGCAAATGCCCTACCCACTGTGCTATCACTCCAGGAATCCTAATTATCGAATACTATTACCCTCAGCTCCTCACCGCTCGTTTGTCAAGAGATAAGGGCATAAAGACACAGTGACAGTACACAGTGACATTATGACCTAAGGCAGTGAGAATCATTTTAAGCAGTAACTAAAATGAAAATAGTATAAACTCTGTTACTATGTTGATGAATATACAGATTGTGATCATCCGGAATGGCAAATCACATTTCCAAAACACGTGAAAAAAGACCAGAGTCCAGAGGGTTCTGGAGGACCAGTTTCTCTATCAGTTTGGTCATTTGACAGAGAAGTGAGTCCCAAGGTCTCAGTTAGATCCTGTAGGCAGATCCTGGCTCTGTCTTCCCCTGGCATCATAGTTC